AACTGGGGTCGATGAAACTTTTTTTCATTTTTTTTGAGGTTTTTGATGTTTCTTACTAATTCGTGTCTTCTGCTTCTGAATTTCAAGTTAAAAATTGTATTGGTTGCCTAGAAGACGAGATATGAAGGCTGGAACGTTCTGAGTAATAGTTCTGGGCGGTTTCGGATGGAATGCAACAGTTCTGGGCGGTTTTGGATGGAATGCAACAGTTCTGGGCGGTTTCGGATGGAATGCAACCGTTCTGGACGGTTCGGGGTGGAATGCAACCGTTCTGGACGGTAGGGGTGGAATGCAACCGTTCTGGACGGTAGGGATGGAATGCAACCGTTCTGGACGGTTCGGGGTAGAATGCAACCGTTCTGGACGGTCTGGGTAGGGCCCGGACATGTCCAGGTCCTATCCCTGGCATGAGAGCCGATAAGCTTTTCTCCCCTCTCTGGAGGACCCCCAGAGAGAGAGGAGTGGAGCTCACCGGCTCACACCGCCAACTGACGTGATTCGGATGCTCCACGGCTTATATACCCGCACGGAAACACGCCACGTGAAAAAAATTTTTACGTGAAAAAAAAAATGACCCGGTCGTTCTTTTTCGGGAAAACGATGTAACTTTGCTCAAAGTTGATGAAATCGGTTGATTTTTGTGTCATTCTATATCAAAATTTTGTTTCGAATCCGAATCTGAGATTATTTTCCTGTTTCCATGGAGATAAACCGGTAAAAATTGCTGAAACACGTTTCTAATCGAGCAAACGAAAGAATCTCTTCAGCGAACAGTAGTTTCAAGTCAGTAATGATCGTTCTACGTTGTTGTTTCCTATTAGCTCAACAGATTCTCATTTATATTTGTTTTCTGTATATGTTTTGATATTGAATAAAGATAATTTTAATAGAGAGGCTTTCTTTTCTAGTAACACGCCAGTAAACCATTCTATTTTCAGTAATTAACATTCAACCTCATGTGTCTAACATGAATTGAAGTAAACTTCAATATTTTAATGAATTGTACTTTTCAATCGTGAATAGAAAGAGATTGTAAAAATGTTAGCTACTTGAAGAAGAAGAACATTTGGTGGACTTTCGCAGCATTTTTGTGCCGACGCATCGATGCGTACGATGTTCTATCACAGTTACTATACGCTTCCTGTTTCTATATTATTCAAATATGACTTTTCCTCTGAAGAAGGACCATTTGAAGAGGACTTTAGAAGTTATACGAGATAAGCCTGCAATCGGTTAGTTCATTTCATCTGAACCATAAAATATTTTTCCTTGTTTCAAGTCGAGCAGCCAGCAAAAAAAAAAGTCAAAGTCTTTGACTTTTCCATTCATCCTAAACGAAAGATTGCTGTGAAGTTTCTGTATTATGGATGGGAACACGATGGCTTAGTACAACAAGCAAACACAGAAAATACAGTCGAAAATGTAATTATATGTTAAACGTTCAATTCAGCAGACATTACTTCAGAAACTTAGAGAAGCTCTTTTGAAAACAAAGTTGATAGAGGATTGGAGTTCCTGTGATTTGAGCAGATGTGGGCGAACAGACAAAGGTGTATCTGCATTTAAACAAGTTGCTGCTCTTGTGGTTAGGTATCCTTGTTAACAGAATAAGAGTTTAATGCTTGAATCTTAAGGTCTTGTAATACGGATGACCCGAATGTCTTTTGGCCGGAAGGCACCCTCGAACAAGTTAAATCTTCCTATCAGTCAAAGCCGGAGCTATCTTATTTAAAAATGCTGAATGGAGTTTTGCCACCAACAATAAAAGCTGTTGCTTGGTGTGATGTGCCCCGAGACTTTTCCGCTCGCCATGGTTGCAACATGAGGATTTATAAGTATTCTTTACCAAAAGCTAATTTAAACATTGAAGTTCGGTGTTTGATCTTTACAATTTTGCATTTTTCTTTTCTCCAGAAAATGAGAGATGCCGCTTCTCGATTAGTTGGTAAACACGACTTCAGGAATTTCTCCCAAGTAGGTACGAGGAAGATTGTTCTGTGAAAACACATCATTATCAGATTGATATGAATGAGGCTCGTGTAGTCATGTCATACGTTAGAGAAATATTTGAAGTCACCGTAGATGATTTGGGAAGGTTCTTCATATTTCAAATATGAGAAAAGAATTTCTGATGTTTCAGCTCGAACGATCCAAGTGGCTTGGTTGAACTCACTGTCAAGGGTAGTGGGTTCTTATGGCACATGATAAGATTCATAGTGACTGTATTACATGAAGTTGGAAGGGGAAAGGAGGAACCAGAGGTAAGCTATATCCTTATACGATTATTCAATATGATGTTTTCGATTGTCTCAAACTTACTTGATGTTGAGAAGTTTCCTCGTAGGCCGCATTATGCTTTGGCTGTAGATAGACCACTATGTCTTTTTGATTGTCGGTAAGCAACTCTTCCGCATTCCTCTGTATCCTTTCTAACTTATAGGTTCGATGCTTTTGAGATGAAATGGAATTATGACGAGAAATGTTTAGAAAAGACTGTTCGAGATTTGCAAGTAACAATGGCTGACTACTTAACAAAGTTGGGCTTTGTTGATGACCATTGTCATAGTTGCATTTTCCAGAGCTCGTTTGATTAGAAACATGATCGATGACTTGATGGAGTTACCTGAATCTTCTGAGATAGATTTGAACAAAGGTTTATTGGAATTCACCCAGGTAAGCGCAGTATCATTTACTTTCTATATGTCCACCATAGGATCGTGGATTACCTGTAAACTACGTACCATTCAAGGATAGGAGCACTTGTGATAGTTTGGAAGAGAAGCTTGAGAAAATCAAATGCAAAAGAGACGCTAAGATGTGAGAAATTCTTTATTTACTTGTTGATTTGTTTTTGTTATCTTCTATAAATTTTTCATTTCTTGTTTCCTTATTATATGCCCATGTCTTGTCATGTCAGTTACCTCGAGACTTGTCAGATTGTCCTAATCACAGAAATTCAGATGTCATCCCGTAAACTGAAAGTTTTAAATTATAAGAAGCAAATGATCGACTATGATGGCAAGTTCACCTATCAATGAACTAAACCTTCTCTTCTCATTCAGATGATAAGGAATTCATCAACTTTCTCTGTGATATGGACGAGTTGCATCTGAAGTTGAAGTCTGAAGATTGGCTTGCCGCTTTTCTGGATGAGAAGAATGAAGAGAAACAAACACAGCTTATAGAAGAAGTGTATCAGAGTTTGTATCCTAGCATAGGAATATAAATTTTTCAGTATATTTCACAGTTAAACTTGGATGGACAGTTGAAACGAAGAGAGGTCGCCAATGCTATCGCTGATATAGCTATCGGAAAGATCTATGACAACACTCGTTGGTTTCCATCCTTAGAATCCTATCTAATCCTTACCACTTCTTCAGCTGGTGCTCAGAATTTAACTGCCGAAAGTTACTTGGCGGAGAAGAAGCGATTGAAGGAGCAACAGGAGGCCGGGAACCCATTCTCGGGAATGGACTGTTGGTTTCTATCTTAGCTGTTAGAAACAATTTTGGCTTTCAGATAAATCTCCACAGTTTGCTGAATTGATTGAAGAACTATGCCAGACTCTCAAGATAGCTCCATATCCTGATCCCCAAGTCAGGTTGAAGGTGTTTTTCGTTTCTTATTTTGACTTTATCCTATTCATTTCTAAAGGCTGCTTGTCTGTTTATTCAAGAGAATCTGAAGAAGGAAGTAATCGAGCAACGCAATGCGACCCACAAAACAAAAGTGATCAAGTCGATCAGTATTTTCGACCTCTGCCATTGTTTCAGAAAACATTCGACTTAAACTCCATCCCGTTGGGCTATCCTTCACAGAAAGACAAATCCTTGGATGTAGTCGCTCGGATATTGAGGATTTTGAACGTTGCGTCTCTTCGAAACACACAGACTATAGTGAGTTGATGAGTGTTGTTATGACGAATAAAGGGAATTTAGATAAATGAGACGCTAGTGGCCATCCAGAACATAACAATAGATCAGACCAAGAAGCCAGACCTTAAGCAAGTCACGTACGGCAAGTCCTAAGCTATTGTTTTTTGTTAGTTTATTTTTGTTTTACGGGGAATAAAGTACGAGGCTTTAACTGTCTATGTTTGTGTTGAAGAGTTCACAACTCTCTCTTTGTACTTCAAACTGTCTTCCTTTTCCCTCATATTAACCATCATTGCAGCATAAATAGAAAGAATGTCGACTCCGGAGACGAGAGTGAAGCCCAATATCCTCATTACCGGAACTCCAGGTACGGGCAAAACTACTCTGGCAGACGAACTAGCTAAGCACTTGGGATATTTTCGTTTTGACGTAATCGTTTTCGAACTTCATAACATTCATAACATTCTTTTGAAGATCGGAGAAATAGTGCGAGAAAATAAGTTCTACACGGAGTTCGATGAGGAATATGACACTTTTGTACTTGATGAGGACGCCATCTTGGATTTTATGGAAGTGAGTACCGGTAATGCAGAAGTTGAAATCTTCTTTCTTGTAAGGAACGAATGGACAAAGATGACGGAGGAAATGTAGTAGATTACCATGGATCTTCATTCTTTCCCGAACGCTGGTTCGACTTCGTTATTGTCCTTCGATGTTCAAACACCGTCTTGCATGACCGATTAACAAGCAGAGGATATAATCAATTTAAGGTATTCTTTTTCAAGTTCTAGAGACGCTCACTCTTCCTTTGTTTTGAGGTGAAACAGAATATTGAATGTGAAATTTTTGGGACATTAGCGGAAGAAGCGCGTGAGTCCTATCCGGAACTAGATGTTCAGGAGCTCACGTCTGAAGATGTAGATGATGTCCATACGAACATAGAGAAGATCAGCCAACTCATAGAGAATTGGAGAAAATAGAAGTCCTCATTGTTTTTGTTTTTGTTGATTTTTGATTTGTTATTAAATTTTTTTTATATGATCACACGACAAGACTATCGTTTTGGGTTTGCCACCCGTCACGTACCTTCACCTATCAATTATTTTGTTGACACAGTCTTAATCTCAATTTAGAATGTGTCAAATGTGGCAGAGCATACGCTATGGCGTTCGGTGGAATCCCGCAGAACGTCTTGCCTTAGCGTCCAGAGGATTGAATTTATCTAAAGTCAAAGCCATTGACATTTCCATGGATCCCTTCCATACGGGCAATCATTCTCTCCGGTGTGTCCACAGTACATACCCTTCACGCAATAATTATACTCTCTTGCAGAACTTTCTGGCACAGCATTTCCTCTCCAAGAGTACGTATGACGAATCCGACAGTCAAAGTGAAAACAGAGATTCGAAATGACCGACAAGATCCTTTCTTCATCGCCACTCTGGGTAAATCTCTCTTTTAATTGACGGAAACTAACTTCCTGTTGCAGATGATGGAAGAAAATTACAATTCAAAACTAATAATATGCCTGCCGCCGACTTAATTATGAGATTTAACCGTCTGTTAGGTAATCCCGAATTAGGAAAAGCCGGTACGAGACCTCGTCCAAAGATCTGAGTTGTTACTTGTTGAAAAATAGTCGAATTAGTTGTGTTTATTATGAAATATAAATTTTATGAATTAAGAGGAGTAACGGATGTGTGTTTTATAACATACAAATGAGATTTGAAATGGAGATCAGAGGTGGGGTCTCACTAGACCCCCAATATGGACATGTTGATGAAAAAATTAGTCGAAAGGCACCATTTGCTCACAGTCAAGTCGTAGTTGGCGAACTTTAGAATGGATTGTATCTTCCCGTTCTTCTTCCAAATGTTCTGTTGAAGAGGATTTTCTGAAATATAAAACATTGCCAAATGTGTCTGCTATGGTTGTTTCACCTGTGATGTCTGGCTTCTCCATCAAATCCAGTCCTAAGTTCATCTGTTAAACAAGCGATCAAAGTTCTCCAGGCCCGAGCAGCTTCTCGTGTCTTCTAAGCGAAAAGTCAGAGAAAAATGTTTTTTTTAATAATTCGTTTTATTTTTGTGTTAATAGCTAACTATGTTTATGAGATTGTTATGAGCTACAAACAATTCGTCACCTGGACAGATTCGTGGGTACAAATCCTTTCCATAGCAATTTCGCCTAGTCTCTCCCATATATCACTGAAATATGCACAGTCAATAAAATTCTTGAAAAACCTTTTTACGACAAAAAACACTTCGCAAAAGGTATTTGCATGGTGTTGCTTTTCGTTTTCCTTTCTATTGGAACAATCCTTTCGGCGAAGGTTAATGAATGTCCTGTGAGTGCAGGAAATTTTAAAAATGAATTTTGCAATTTGCAACTCTCAGCTGCTCCGAAAGATAAATTGAGTTTCAAAAGACATTTTTTGTATTAGAAATTCATGGCATCATTGAGGTTTCAAATATGGAAATGTATGAACGACCTGGAGAAGGAACATGTTTTGGCCAGGATAGCATGCGAAGATCCAATCCTCTTAATTCGTTCAATACATTCAGCTTCATCATCCAGTATAGTCAGGAGCTCATCAAAGAACCTTCAAATCAATTTCGTTTCAAAAAATACAAACATCTCTTACCTAATAAGCAATTTCGTGTGAGCTTCTAATGTCGCCACATTTTCTTCTTCCTTATTAAAAGCATCGACCAAGGCGGCTTTGTAGAAAATCTGAAAAGAATCCATTTTGCAAATCTTCTTCCTCTCTTTCTAAGAAGAAGATATACGGACTTGTTTAACTTTTGGTGAAGCAATCTCCAGCTCCAACAGAATCTTTCGGAATGTTGCTCCAGCTTGGGGGCGCATCAGTCGCCATGACATTGCCAAGGCCTGTTTCTGACTGAACGACAATGACGAAATTGATCCCATCGCACCTGTGAATATACGTTACTAAGATCATACAAACGAACAACGAAGGTAGGTTGAATCAAAACTTTAGATGCGTCAAAAAGAGAGGGAGGAGGGTCTCTCCGAGAAAATGACGACATAATTCGAAAATTTACAATCAAGGAGAATGCTGAAGCCAATTAAGGCAAAAAGCTTCAACTCCCTCACTCATGGAGTTCTTGGCACATGAGCGAGCAGAATGGCCTTTTTAATAAATGTAAAACATCAAAAAACCTCTTCTTTGCGATTTCGATCGGCTAACTCGACTTCCTCTGCGTGAGAATCCATTTGAACCTGAAACACAGTGATGAGATGACTGATAGGTAAGTCGAAGTAGTATGTTGGACAGGGAGATCTCTCATTCATTGTTAGTTCACCTGAGCATTTTCTCATTACAGGACTCTCTTCCTGTACCGTATAAGATCTATCATATTTAGCCCTTCTATATGAAGCAGATTTCGTGTCAGAAGCCATTTGTCTACAAATGTTTTAAAATATTCCGTAGTACTCGACGAACTCTCAAAGGTGCAAGAACCAAGAAGATGAGAAAGTAGGACCAAGAGAGCACATAAAGAGCGATGAAAAAATTTGTCAAATTTCAGAAGAATGGTTTTAGCCGTTCTAAAATTGAAAAACTTTGACCTTGTCAAGCCGGATGAATTTCAATTTACTAAAAAGAAGAAGAAGAAGAAGCTGAAGAAGAAGAAGAAGCAGAAGCAGAAGATGTTGAATGAAGAATTAATTAGAGAACAATAAAAAAAGAGGAACATCGATGATTCGCGTTATTATTTTATATGGACAACCATTTTTATTTTCTTCTCTCTTTTTGCTCCAAAAAAATTCAGTAAATTCAGAAAACGAGCTCTTGCAGCTCATCTTCGGTTCTCCAAATGCTTGTCGTTAACATAGAACAAAAAAAAAAGTAAAATTCATCTTCGGTTAGTCGTTATTATAGAAACAAGACACACCATACCCTCATCCACATCCACACACACACACACACATGCACATCCACACATACACACACACAAGCACACACACACACACACACACACAACCTTTGAAAGTTCAAAATGAAAACATGGAATGAGGAGATGGCCATCATCACACGCATACACATGTCTGAACGTTCAAAAACGATTTCGTGCTATTGGAAGAGGAGACGGGGCAGGAGGAGAAAGGTCAAAACATACGTTTCATTCAAACAAAAATAAGTTTGTAGAAAAGTCATTTAACTGGAAATTCTTTTCATTTTAAAGCATTTTGTATATTAAAAAGTCAAACAAACATTTGTTTGGAAAAAAAAGGAGAACGGGAGATCAAACGAGTGAAATTCGTTTGATGATGAAAGTGAGTGAGTATGTATATGTGTGTGTGTATGGTGAGACGAACAACAACAAAATTTGTGTGAAAGAGCTTATCGAGCAGTTCTCTCCTCTTCTTGCGACTTCTTTTCTGTGTTTTTCTCTACAAAAGTAGTATTTTAAATAAATTTATCATTGTCTTTGACATAAATATCGTTTTGAGAGAGAGAGAGAGGATGACAGAGAGAGAGAGAGAGAGAGGATGATGAGTGAGATGAAGAACGGTGCTGCTGCTGTAGATGTTGAAGCATGGAGGAGAGTGAGAGCACAAGAAATATAAATGAAAGTTGAGCGATTTTTCCAATTTCATCTTAACACGGCTACAAAGTCTTAGCAAAACTGAAACAAAATAGTTTCAGTTCAAAGATTAGGTCAAAGTAGAAATAAACTTTCTTCATCTATTTTTTCTCATTTTTCGTCAAACGTTAGAAGATAGCAGCATTTTGAAGAAAAACAACCGTTCAGTAGCGTCGTTAGACATTCAAATGAAATGTTAGCTGAGACGTGAATTCAGCGTGAAAATTTAAAATATTCTAATTTTGGATAGAAGACAAAGAAGAGAGGGTGAGAGAGAGAGAGAGAGAGAGATGGAAGTACTTAGAACAAAGTGAAAATATATAAAGTCTAGGAAAAAAAAGGAAGTCAAAATGGCCATATTGGACATGCTTCCTTTACGGAGCTGCCCCTCTATTCATGAATATTTTTTTTTGCTCACGTTTCAACACTGAATATTTGAATACACATATACATACACCAAACGAGATATGGTCGGGAGAAACAAAATGAACTCTCATATTCATTTTCAAATAAGGCAAAGGTAGTAAATGGAAATGAACTGACACTCGCCATGAGATCGCAATTCCATTAAAGGATATATACATATATGGACATATACATATACATATGTATCTACACACAGTTTGATTTTAATATTAGTTTTTCTCAAATAAAAATTTTCTTTTTTCCTGATACGACATGAAGGCACTTCATTGCGAGCGATGCCATGAAATTCTATCTCTCATCAGGAAAATTATTGAAAAGTAAAATTTCTCTGTCAAAAATGAGTAAAAGATATATCTAAAGAGAGAGGGAGAGATAGAGAGAGTGAGAGACATACACAGAGAGAGAGAGAGAGAGAGAGATTGCGTTTGATTAAAAAATAATATGAGGGAAACAGATTTTAATTTAAAGTATAACACAAGAGCACATGCAATGAAAAAGTTCCTTCAAAACTAAAAAATTAGAAAAACAGGCCGTTTGATGGAGTCTTTCGTCTTAAAAAGAAAAAAAGAATAAGAAGCCGAAAGGAGCCGAAAGGAAATAACAATGCTCTCATAAAGGAATTTGAAAAAAACAAAACAGAGAGCACCGTTCTGTATTTGGTCGGTCTCTCGATATCAATTATTCTAAACAATGAATTTCATATACTCTAATGCTTTGATAAGCGCGTCTTGAGTGTTCAAACTCCATTGAGATATAGAGAGATCAGATTCAGATGGGAATAGACGTGGTAGTAGTTTGTAAGATGGGAATATTAATGAATGCAAATTCAGCATTCATAAATTGACTTTTAAAGGTGACAAAGGCGATACCTACTCTTTCGGTTCGGTTATGAGGTCAGAAGTGGAATATCTAATGTGAAAGAGTCAACGAGTTCATCATGTGGTGTGGTGCATGTATCAATAGAATGAAGTAAGAAGTTATGAACAGAAGCGACTATTTGCCAATTCGAGTCAAAAAAGCTATTTGGATTGTAAATAAATAGGAATTCATATCAAAAAGTTAAATTGAAAATTGAAATTAGTTTTTTATTTCGAAATAGAGAGAGGATGGGGGGGGGGGAGAGATTACATCCGTTCTCGCGCACACAAGCTGACGAACAGTAGAATTGCAAAGTTATTAGTGTGTTAGGAGCGGGTTGATGGAGGAGTGTTTACTTGACTTCCCACCTAGTTTCTTTCATTGAAGACGAAAATGATGAAATGTAATTACATCAAGTAAGCTCATTAATTTAAGAGCTCTGATACTTTTGCCAACTTCTTCTTCATCTTACTCTCTCTCTCTCTTTCTTTCTGCATCTTCACAAAATGGCAACATTGTTGTCGGAAACGTGAAATCATTCCACCCAGGATGGTAGGTTTCAGATTCCAAAAATCACGTCTTGCGCTCCACACAAAGCATTATCAGAAAGCTGTTTACACATATGATATTATAATGTTTTTAACTATATATATATATATATTATCCGAGAGAATCAATCTGTTTCTAGGAATATGAATTTATTTCTGGTTCCAGCATACCGGAACTCGCATGAAGTTTTCTCAAATACTACGTCACTAGTCTTCTATGTAGCAATACCAATGAATAAGAGGAAGTTTACGAGAAACTTCAAGATATACACTCAATATATCACTTTACAAGAAAATTGCAGAATAATGGTATTTCATGAAGATCAGTTGTTGGAGCAATGCACGTGCTGCACGTCATTTACAAGCATTGCACGAAAATGTGGTAATGAAGGCGCGAAAATGAACTTGTCGATTGGGAATCAAATCATTTGCGGTTTGCGTGACGTACGGAACGGTTGTGTGCTCATTTCTCACTTTAAATGCATTTTATGTTCTTCATGAGTTACCATTTTTGAGCATTTTTTTTCTCTTTTTGTTGTGCATGTGCAGATCAAAGTAATCAATGATTAGATGTTCGTTTGGGGGTAACACTTCTTGACAAGACGATTGAGAGATGAAGAATGATGCGTTTCTTCCACTACATGTGATGTTTTATCCAGATTTTATATTTTGGAATTAAAAACAAAAACAATTGAAATCTTGTGAACGAGGAAGCGAAAGTAGCAGTTTGTGAGAGTTGGTGTGTACATGTAACGATAAGGATTGCTGCACTTGGGGGCGGTTTCAGTAACCATGAGCATGAGGGTGGATTTTCCGGAGAGGCGAAGTAATAGAACAAGTTGAACGAATTTTTCCTTTTTTTTTTGGAGACAGATCTCTTATGTGCGAAATACAGAAAACACATTAGATTAAGAGGAAATTCCTAATTTGGCCGTAGTAGTTTATGTAAATAGAATAATCATCTGAGAAGTTGGCTCAATGATCGTTTTGGGAATCTTTTAATTAACTTGGGTTCTTTGTGTTGGCATACTTTTTGAATTAATAACTGTTTCGAACAAAGAAGGCTCACTGGAGTATTGTTCGTTTGCCGATTATTTGAGAAAAAATGAGTTTGAACCTCGTTCGTTTTCCCTCTCACTCTTTCGTGTGTATCTCAGTTTCTTATTTATTTATGTTTGACAACATGATCAGATTTTTCATTCTCTCATCCTGAAATGGTTGTGGGCCGTTCAAACATCTAAGTTGATGAAAAAAAAAAGTTTTTTCTCTCCACAATATCCTGGGAAGTTTTTCTTTTAAACTCGTTACTTGTTTAGGAAACTTCGTCTTTCATTTACAATTTCATTTCTTGAATTATTTAAAAAAGTTTGTTTCTTTTTCAGCAAAAGCTCATTAAGAATCACATTTTCAGACCCCCCCCCCCCCCCCATCCCTCTCTCTCTGCAACTTCACGGGTTAACCTTTCTCATTCGCTAATAAAGGAACAAATTTCAGTCTTTCTCACATTTTTTGGTCAAAACGCATGACCACAGAGAGGAATAAAAGAAAAAAATGTATAAAACGTACTTTTTGTTGTTACGCGACACGACTGAGTTCGTCGGAAGTTGAAAGCTGGCGATGATTGAGGTTCCTCCATAATTGGAATCCTGAACATATTTTGTTTTTAAAACAATAGAAGGAAAGTGAAAGACAATTAATAAAGAGAATAATTGTTCTATTTCGAAATTGAAGAAGGAAGTAATCGGTTTACTCATGAACATTCGCAACCTGTGAATACAGGAAGTGACAGTCATGCTCATGCCAAGCGCACACCCAATCATGAATGGAACAGGAAGCAGCGATAACCTGATAGCGCTTGATGAGGCAAGTAGGGATGAACGAGATCATTCAATGAGGAGAAGACAGAAAAACGCAACATAACAGTTAGATTTCCCTTAAGAAATGAGTTTTTTTCTTCTTATTTTTTTTCAGTAAAAGCCTATAAATAACGTTTTCTATTTTGGCTGTTCAGCTGCTCTCTCCAGATATAACTTGAAGAGGAGATAAGAACTGATGTTTCACTTAGGTCAAACTATTAAAAAAGACTGAAAGGAATAGATAGAAGTAAGTAGAGAGAGAGAGAGAGAGAGAGTGAGTGTGAGAGAGTGTAGCTCTAAAAACAATCGGAAGACTGGATAACGGGAAGAAAAGCCTAAAACCCTCTTTTTGCCTCAGGCGTTTGTCCAAGAAACGTGGAATCCTGCTGTGGGTAAAATTTTGCTTATAAGTTCCTTAACTTTTGTTTTTTCCAGCTTTAGTTTTTTTTTTCTAATCGGCCTTCATGAACAGCCATCATTCGTTATTTTCAGGTAGTAATGAATTCCATAGAGAATCAGAATGCGGAGCATAGATTTCAGTCATGTTACAAGTTGAGTTACAAATGGCATTCTCGAAGAATCTGCCTTCATACAGCGTTTAGAGCATTCCCTTAGCTAATACTTCCCATTGGTCATAAAACTGGCTGAGAAAAAGCTCAAAAGTCTATATATAGTACGAAAAATCAGAGCTGCCTTGATAATTTCTGAGAAGCTTAGAAGAAAAGAAAATAGGCGGAGCATTTAAGGCGTAGACAATTTCGAGCTTGAAGCTGTTGCGCAGTTACAGCCAAAAACCTAGCATGAAATTCAATTATAGCATTTCATATTCATATCTATGGCTGGTATATATATAGAAATATACATATATATGCTTTTATAAACCTAAAAAGGATGTTTGTCCTTCGGTGATGTCTGCTGCTCCGAAAAGCAAGATAGAAGCTGAAGTATGAATGCAGCTTTCTGCACAGAACAAAGTAATTTCCTAATGAGAGCAATCACGCGAATACATCGGTTTTAAGAAGCCAGAACGATGCAGCTTTTACATTATAAACCGCATACAGACATTCTAGCCAAAAACTTCCTTTTTTTCTTTATTTGATCGAAAATGAGTGAGAAACAAGAATGAAAATAGCCGCTGATGAGCAATCGTACGAAACCTTCTGAGAAGACGATATAGCGTCAACTCAGTAATGGCGACATGCAAATGATCGGTTAGCGTGTGTAGATCAGATTTAAACCGATGAGAACGATGATGCTGATAAAGAGCTGATGGCTGAAGCATGTGAATAGCTTGTGATGTCGTCAAGCTATTGGAGAATGAGAATCAGAATGAGTTAAATGAGGAGACAAGTGAGAGAGAGAGATAGATAGATAGAAAAAGAATGTATAAAGAGAATGATCAAAAAATAACGAAAAAGGGTCAAAAATGTGTTGATGAGACTAGAAAGTACATGCGTAGTTCACCGAAAAACGAACGAGAGAGGTTAAAAGTATAAGGACACAACGACGAACCGGCCAAACGAAGATTGAGAGAGAGAGAGAGCAAGAGAGCAAATGCATAAAAGGATATGAGATGCATAGAGATGATTTGGTGAAAGGTAAAAAGCATAATTATTCGCAACAAAAGTAACAAAGACAAAGAGATGAGAATATATTCAGAGAATATGCATGTGAAACGACGTTAAAATAGTAACTAAGCCAATTAAAATAAGAGAAAATGTCATAATAGCCGGGGGCAAGTGTTTGGTTAGCAATTTGCCTTTCAAACTACAATGATTCTATAAAACTACAAAGTTTCTTAAACATCTTTCTCTTTCAACAACAAATGTGTTAAGGCACATAGGAAGTAAGAGAGAAAGAGAGCCACACACACTAAGAGAGAGAGAGAGAGAGAGATAAAGAGAAAATTGAATTTCAAAAAGAGTACGAGAGATAACGATAAAGGTTTTTCGAGACATCATCCTATCTGCGTACTTTACTTACTTACCCAGTAAAGACGTTCTATGGTTATTGATGATATTTGAGCTCTTAACCTACCGCCTAATATCTCGCAACTGATATAGATGACAATCTCTCGTCTCTCTCTCCCTCACTCTCTCTCTAATCGTATAGCATTTCGAATAAATCGTTTTCATCTAATTAATTCAATTATTATTATTGTACCTTTGATATATATTATAATTTGCAGGAAAATAACATGAAAGTACTCTTCTCATTCTCTCTATCTGTATCTCACGCGTTCATAAGCTCACAATCTGACGATGCCAATGATGGTCAATTTTCAAAAGGAGGAAATTAGAAGGAAAAAATCTGTCTAAACATAGAATTGTGTTTCATACTCACCTTCGGGAGGAGAAGACAATTTTTCCGAATCACAAAGCTTTTTGTTCAAATTTACTGGAAAGGCGGGAGAGGGTGGTAAGTAAAAACTTAATTCTTCCTTATTTGACTAAGCTTTTTGCTTTGCATGTCTTTATTTCTATATGCTGAGGATAAGACTAAGAAAGGGAGGGAAAGGCAGAGAGAGGGGCAGGATAAAGATGGAGAATGAAAACCTAAAGAGGGAGAAAGATAGGAAGGGGATAATCTCAAGTCGAAAAAAGCAGCTAACGAATATGCAAATGTGCGTATTAAACGTAAGCTCTGTTATGGGCATCTGTTTTTTTAAAACGGCAGAAAGAGAAATCATAAAGAAAGATTGGTTAGACAAGCAAGCTGAGTATATTATTATTCCACATATCTCCTTCTCTTTAACTATATATGAATATATGCATAGACATAACTAGTTGCGAAAAAAAAATATTTTTCAAAATTACGGGAAAAAAAAGGTAAAAAACGCGAGAGAATGAGATAGATGGATGGAAGAGGAGGAGGAGGAGGATGTTGGAGCTATAGAAATGAAAAAGTTACTACCAAAGCTAGTTTTGCAGAATTAGGCTTAACTGGGATGGTGATGGTGGTCCAATAGTAGTAGCTGGTGCAGCCCTAGCAGCAGGATATTGGAAGAGACCGATTATTATGAAATTAGAGACACTAGTGATCATCAATCTTCGGATATGATTCTGAATATGTTTGTTAACAAAAGCAGCAAAAAACATGTCATTGAGTGAGTATGGTGAAAGAAGAAGAAAAAATAAATGATATTAAGATGATTCCACATCAGTGCATCATCAAAAAACATGTCGACGATGATTGGAAGATGCTTGACAATGATGATAGAATGTGTTTGGATGAGTTTACCAAACGAAAATTCAATCTTGATTGTTGGTAATACTTCTATCAAGTCAACCATCCATCCATCCATCCACAACATCAGATTCATCCAATTTTGATCTATGAGACCATAAGCATCTATCAGAATGAAAGTTATGCTAAGCCATTTCATGATGATCTCGTTCAATTTTTTTTCTCTTTGTGACGAATCAAATGTTCCTGAGATTTTATGTTTTAACGAAATGGACAGAGCTCTAATTGAAAAAGGAATTACGACACACAAGATCAGAAGCTGCGGTCAGATGCGGTTAATTGATACTAAGAGCACTAGATAGGGAGAATGTCCTTAAATCAAGCAATCTCCACATAATGCTAGAGCAAGTAGAAGACAATTTCGAAAATTCAATATTGCGTTCTTACATGCATCATAAAATCTTTTTTTGGTCTTCATATACTTTACTTATATGGTATATACTCAAACCAAACTAAGTACATTAGAAGGAGCATTTCAAAGCTAACGATTTGGAAAAATATGTTTGAAGAAAAGAACTCACTCTCACTGATCCAATATTCTATTTTTCATTTTCACTTTGCACAACCGCCTACCATGCCACGCAACATCAAAATAACTTTGACGTAGAAGTTTCACGTGAACTTTCCAATATGCTAATTACGAGCATCGTCAGCAGAATATAAGTTTGAGAAGGCAGATAGTAAAGGATTGAAATTTCTATTTTGGTGTTTGTTACAAATAATTTTCATGTTGAAGGTTACCCATGAGGGTTCATACTTGCAGCTAGGCTGGTTGATATAGTAACATAGATGATATCATAGAGTATGGCAGTCAGGAACATGAAGCTCACTACTCACGTCTTCCATATCTCCCAATCAACTCATTTTTAATTTTGGCGCTTAGATTATGAGAGGATTGGATGAAAATGGATTATTGCGTATGACGAAGATACGGAGAAAACGGTTATTTCATGAAATATTGATGATTTTAATATTTTCGATTTAAATTATGTTTTTGAAGATTTATATGTTTGAAAGTGTTTTTGGAAGATATTAATGTGGCAGATTGATAAATTAATCAGACTGCAAATTAAATTTTCATTTTCTTTCTCCCTCTCTTTCTCTCTTTCTCTGTGTGTTCGCTTTCTCTTCCTCCCTCTCTCTTCCTCTCTCTCTAGCAGACGTAATGCGTTGTTGGTGGAGAGTGAAGTGAAATATAGGAAACTATTCAAATATTATGAGAAAATTTGGAAAGACAACAAACAAAAAAAGGAAGATACTTCGAGAACAGAGGAAAAGAAGAAAATAAAGCGTTTGTCTGGTAAATTGCGAGAAAAATAGTAAATTGTTTCCATATATGTATATATATATATATTCATATAATGGAGAATATGGAAGAAAAGGGCCAACAAGTAGCTGGATCAGGCTGGTGGTAGTGCTAATGGTCGTTGTAGTGTTGTGCTTGCAGACACTAGCAATCCGGTGAATGTGCTGAGACTTCCATACAATGTAGAACTCAAATGTTTTTATATGCATTTTCAATTAGGATATGGAACATATGCTACTCATATAGTACTTTTAATTCTTTCAGAAAGGTCTTTTGAATCAAATTTCTAGTGCCAGGAAACAGTTCAGCTCCCTGATGAATAGACTCATTAGCATATTTACTGTAACATGCAAATGCGTACGTGGAAAGTGCGCGTGGATGACGTAGCGTGTGCTAGTGCCAAGCAACAACTAGTTTACAATTGATATGAGAAATGAAAGGTGGCATTATTGTACTAATGACAGTTTTCGCAATTAATGCTTTCACAATACAACGGAGCAAGAAGCAAGGTAAGAGGAATTGGAGCAAACGAGTTATTGGAATTCATTAAGAGGAGCAATCGCAACCAAGCAGATTTCGTCAATTCATAAGAGGAGAAGCAGTTCCACATCTACCGCAGGTACAGCTGTAGACTGATTGGCAATCAATTGATGAGAACGAATAAACAATAAACAGATTGATTATATAATTTCATTTCATAACAGTTTAATCGAATACCATCTGTTTCGAAATCGAAGTCTCTTGTTGTTCCTCCGAACACCGAATTCAATCCGTGCTCAACATCCAACAATATCTGCTTTAATGATGGGAAGTGTGTGAATAGAGACGGAATGTTAGTTCATTACCAATTCATTTTTTTATTAATTTATTTGAAATAAAAGGTTTACATGTCACTGTCCAGCTACCCATTATGGAAAACGATGTGAAAAGCTGGCAGACATGAAAAATTGCTTCAATAATAAATGCAAAAATAATTCTGTATGTGTCAGGTACTTTGATTAATTGATCAAAAATTAGTTTTCTTATAATCTTTTTCCCTCATACATAGTCGTCCTTTCCCAAAAGAAGTTGTTGATCGAAGTGAGCAGCCAGCAATAAAGGCAAAAGACAAAGAAAGCTTTACAATGAAATTGGACTATGAGTATGTTTACTGCTAGTTTAGCCCCCCACATGATAATTATTTTTTTACCTTTGAGTTGTATTTGTCTCGAAGGCTTTCTGGGTTCATTCTGCGAAACCTCAGATGCTGAACTAGAATGTAAGGAAAACTATTGCATGAGTCATGGTACAGGCACATTACAAGGAAACAATTGTACATGTAATTGTCATTCAAACTATATTGGCAGTCGAGTTACTCACAACAGTCACATTTTTCCTTACCTGATGTATTTAGTGTGAAACAGAAAATCCGTGTGCATCAATTACTTGTTACAACTCGGGAAAGTGTGAACTCAAAATAAACGAAGAGCAGGGTATAGTAGAAGCTGTTTGTAAATGTCCAAAAACTGAACTAATTTCTACTCAAATAACAGGTCAGTATATTTTCAAATCCACGTAACATGATCTACGTGAACTGTTGGCATTCATTTCACGTGGCTCACGTGAAGCCAATTCATTTATTTGAAATAATTTGAGACGACTGGTTGTGTTGTCTACAATAAACATCCAATAGGTTTGAAAGTTATATCTTTAGGCGATTTTTGTGAAATCATATCCCTGGATGATACATTAGCTACTTCTCCCGGAGTGCCATGTATGAATAACGGAAGTAGAAAACTATATGCCGAATATATGGTACCAAGGTATCATTCGTATTATATAACAAAAATCTTAAATAAATATACAGACTGACTGGATTTGAAGATAGGAAATTTTTTAGCAGTCTGTTCCTACAATGCACAACAGAATCTGGTGAAAATTGCCGATTCCATCCCAAACTTTCAACTGGCTGGTGTATAGGCAAAAACGCATTATGTAACCCTCGAGTAGTGAAATGTGAGATTTACATTTTAGTATCACGTATACAATCCGTATTTCCAGTTCCTTCCGGATATTATTATCTTGTTCCATTCTGTCAATGTGATGGAGCAGATTATGGAAGACTATGTGAAGTAAGTAATGCCATGAACATCTGAAGTACTTCATTAAGTTTCATCGAGAAGATGTCTGTGATCCAACCATGAATGATAAAGCCAATGGGATTACAAGAGAAAACCGATGCACCAATATTGATCAAGGCGTTTGTATTGATATACTTGGAGATCTGAAATGCGAGTAGGATTGCTCACGAATACACCAAATTCTAATTCGTTCATCCACCTTTGTTTCAGTTGTAGAAAAGGTTTTGTTGGGGAAGAATGTGAAACATACAATCCTTGTGTTAGTAATCCTTGCGGTGAAGCCGAATGTGTTGCTGTAAGTTTTGATGAAATGTCATATAGAATTGAGTGAATAGATCCCGTCCGAAGTTGTTGTGAACAGGCCTGGGCTATACAAAGAGCTATACAGGTGTCTTTGTGATATGAACTCCGAACGTTCTGAAGGTACATTTAATAGAATAACTTTATCACTTATATTTCATAGGCTCCACTTGTGTATACAGCGGAACTGGCAACTGTTCTTCTCACGATCGCTGCCATAACGGTATGTGCTTAACTTGCGAGGTTACTGATGAAAACGATGTACTTCAATTGTGTACCGAACAACAGCTGAACGATGGCTTCAGGTAATTGAACAGAATACACTTGCTGACTTTCCAAATCGTTTGTTGAAGATGTGTTTGTAAACCAGGCTTTCAACCTCCTTACTGCCAAGATCTACAAGATCCGTGTTTCACACATTTGTGTGCCAATGGTGGTCGTTGTAGGAAAACATCCAAATATGATTATGAGTCGGTTTTTTCTCAATTATAAACACAACTTTCTAATATTAAGATGCATATGTAATCCTGGCACAAACGGAACATTGTGTGAACAAGTTTACGATTATTGTTTAACATATGGTTCGTAATCCTACTTTGAATTACCTGATGATATTGAAATAGGCATTATGCAATGCATGAATGGTGAATGTGTTGAGGATATCTCATCACTTCGAGGATTTTCTTGCGCTTGTGACTACTCATACTATGGAAAAAATTGTGAACTCAAAATGGAATCTGTTGTAGCAATGCTTGATTTGACATTAGTTGGAATTCATCAGTATTCTCGTATATCCGTTACTATTTAGAAGTATTATTGGTTTACTCTGCCAATTTTATCAATTTTCATTACCTGCGTAATATTCTTTGTTGCCTACATGTGTTGCTCCACTACATCACCGTAAGTTGAAACCAAAGAGTAGTTATCATATGTTTTCATTCAGAGATAAAAGAGTTATTAAATCACTTACAAAGCAAAAATAATTACTCTTCTGTTAATTTATACAATGAATTTCGAACTGATGAGGTTTTTCATTACATTTATACATTTTAGAAAATAGTATCACATTGTTCCAACATAAATCTGAGCGAAAAATGCGCCAGTTAAAAAATGAGGTTTAAAACAGTGGGATTAGAATATGATCATATGATCAAAGCCTACTTTTGAAAAATTTCATTTCACTTCGCTTTGTTCAACGTAGTAAACATTAGTATAAAATGTATCTAACTACAACTCGTCTTTTAAATGATCTTTAGGCTCGCGTTGGGAAACGCGCTCCAATGCTAATGCCCAAGAAATTTAAAAATATTTATAAATTATTTATTAATTTAGCGATTTCACAGGATAATTCCTTAGTTTTGTAAGCTCTTTTTAATTTTTTTATTCCAGGCTGTGCTTCAGTTAATAGATTACAGTTTATATATCTCCTCAACCAGGTACGACTCTCTTTTCAATTAGTTTTTCAGCAGTTTCTTCAGGGCTCACTGTTATTTTTGAAACTATAAGTTTAAACAGTCACACTGAAATTGTCAGAGATTGAGAAGGTTTCGGCGGACGGTGAGCCGCCGATTACCGGTATGTCTTTTATTTTTATGTTTCATCTTGACCATGATTATAATGTTTGAAGGTGTATTTGATGATGAAGCACAAATTACCGATTCTGTATCCGCAGCAGTTACTCCGATTTGTTCAGACCCAGAGGACGAAGATCCTCATGTATTACCTTTAAAGCGAGCAGGCGATCCCATTCTAACAGCTTCAAAGGTGATTTAGACATTTAAAAGTTAACTTTCGTGTTGTTCAGAGGCTTAAATCTTCATCTCTTTCACATTCTGAATACATGAATCCGGATTCGACGAACATGTTGCTCTCCATGGGGTACGAAATCTTGAATGTTAATTATATTCTGTTTTTAATTTACAGATTTTCCATGGAGCAGATACCGGTTGCACTAGCTCTAGCTGAAGGTGATGTTGAAAAAGCTGTTCTATATTTAACTGGAGAAGTTCCTGGTATGGACAACGATAATTGTAATAGATCAGTGCCAGGTTTGCCATATTTTCAAATTTACTCATTCTTTCTTTTTATTAGAAAATTCTCAACTAAGTAATGGCTGTGCTATAAGGGAAGAGTACGGAGGTATTCAGAGGATGCCATTGTCTGCGCTTCAAATGGTTCAAGTATGTTTAAATATAGAAGACGATTTGAAACAAAATGTATTTTCAGAACTACATTTACCAGGGAAGAGCCCTCTATTACAAAGTGGACAATGCTGTTGATAAATGCCTAAAAGTATTTTTTTTTATGTTCTAACGCTTTCATGTTTTCTTCATTAGGCTGCTATACACATGTGCCAAGAAGATCGTAATGTAATTGATGAAAAGCTCGATGACTTTATCATGAACTGTTTACCAGAGATTGTAATTAGGCACAGTACCGCTAATGAAGTAAGAATAACTTTAAAATTGATTTGTCAAACTTCTTCTACAGGAGTTGAGATTCGACAGTGATTTGGTGGAGAATTATAATACTTGTATCGATCTATCTATAACACTCATAGTCCTCAGGTATGGCAAGGTTTTTTTTTTCAAAATTTAATTTTGATGGTTAAGCTTACCACGGCCTCAATGTACATCAGTTGTTTGCCGGAGTATGTGTGAAATTTTAAATAACGAAGGTAAATGTCATAAGTATTCCAAGCGAAGGGAACCTACTACACACTTGTATGTTTTATATTTTATTAACCATTACTTGAATAACCTGGTTCAGAAAAATTCTTCTGTCCTCAGGCGTTGTATATACAGAATCTGAGAGATTCGCTAACTCGAACAATGTGCCTCTGTATAGGTTACAGGTAAAACAAATTATTTGTCGTATTTGAACTTCTTTTTTTAATTGTCAGGAGTCCATCGAACAGTTTTGTCAAGATGGAGGGTTTGAATTACTTTCCAAATTGATTAAGAACTATCCTAAGTCAGCCGAATCACTTGAGGTTTGTTTTCTGTTTCCTACCAGTATTGAAATCCTTGTGTTTAGAACATGCTAGCTTGTATTCAATTGACGAATTTATTGTTACCTTATATGCGTAAAGAATGGTACGTTAGCCCTACGGCCAATTGGATGGACAAAGGGTTAGATACAATCGAAACGCTAGCAGAGAAAGATATACGCTCTTCGGTTTGTAGTCATCTCTACTTCTTAATTATATCTTTATACTACAGTATACAAGATCGTGTGTTTTGGAGTTACTGGATGAGTTGAATAGATTGAGTTATAATATTCCTTCGACTGAACATAATGGGGAGAACGGACGTTTGGATATCACTAGGCTGGAATTCATACTCAAGTGTCTCAAATGCTCTCAATTCGAAGCTAGGATGTTCGCTTTGAATGACGTAAATGTGTCACTCCGTAGATTTTGTTAATGTTACTCTTTAAGCTTTGCATGTTATCTCAAAGTGTGAGGGAGAACAATGCCATAGTCGGGGATGAGTTATTGAATGAATGGTTGAAGGTGAACAAAGTGCTCAATGCAGGTATTTTCTTACTCTGTTTCCTTCTTTAATTTGTATTCAAATTTTCAGTACTTAGTGGTAATCTCGATATGGCTGCGTACGTGGAAAAAACGAATAAGCTCTTGGCATATATGGCTCCTATACTCTCTAACTCTGATCTCAGTTAGTGTATATAGTTTACAGTATTATCAGTTTTTTCTAGTTTACGTCTGGTCTTTGAGAAACGGAAGATTGGGTGTTTCACCCGAACGGTTTCAATCTATCGTTTCTCACATTGCTGCTCAATTTTCTTTGGAACAAATGGTGTTCATGTGTGATTTGTTCGAGAAGGTTTGACTGACTTCCATTTGATTCTTTATTGCCCAAACTTCCAGGCTTTCAAAACAGGCGAACAGCGCACGTTCGAAAAAGTCTTCAATATATGTGCTGATGTCACACATACATGTGAGAACGATGATGTGGTTAAAATGGTTTGTGTCTGTTTATTTGTATTTCAGTATATCCCCTGCTTCCAGATAATCTACCAAATGTGGGATTATATTTTGATAGCAAAATCGTTTCATTATGATGTCTCCCATGCACTTGATATCCATGCAGAGATGATATCTTTCACGAAAAAGTTTGACTATAGGGATGAGTTTGTGAAACGAAGTTTACTAGTCTTATTGAAACAGAAAGACCAAGATAGAGTAAGATTCAAAGTTATTATCATAATACCAACAAACGATTTTAGAATGTTCTCCCTATACTGTTTGTTGTTTATATTAGGAATGTGTTGGCTCTTGGTGTTAGAGAAAATGCTGGTCATTCTTCAATGATGACAAGGAAAAGTTCCGCTATAAGAGCAGAGAACAGTGCTTGGGGAGGTAGTTTTTCTTTCAATATTTGTTGATTTTTAAATTTCGTAGTAGATGCTGCATCAGACGCCGTTAGACGACTTGAACTGAAAGACCTTCTGAACGATAGTAGCTTGTTCCATCATGTAGTTCGCAACATCACTAACTGTCAACGGATTGCCTATAACAAAAGTTTAGAATTACAAGACTTTGTTATTCCCGGTGGTAAGATAGCTACAACGCCGGTTCATGCTTAAGTTATATATTATAAGAGAGTTCTCGGAGCTGTTTCGATAACGATGATGTTTCTGATCCTGTGAATATGGATGTTGCTGATGGTTATACCTATATGCAAGTTCTTCAGTTCTCACTGAAACTGATTTCCTGGATGTTCGAGCATCGTGTCGTTGATTTTTCGCTTGACAAAATTCAATCACTTTGGCAAGGGCTAGTAGCTAGCGAGACTTCCACGACGCATGAGAAAACTGTAAGTCGGGGATGTTTCACATCGTTCTAATACTTGTGCTCTCAGGAGTTCTTCCATTTTCTAACAAGACTACACAAAGAAATCATCAACCACCATTCACTGTTGCAATTATTGAGCAAATTCAGCCAGCTGAAGCCTGATAAGTATACTGTAGATGGTAATATCTTTTGTTTTGACAAAGCTTATGTCATGCATTTAGGCGTTCGTGCTTTTTTCGAGATCTATCATAGAGTTTCCCATGGGCCTCACAGTTTGAACACAGATGTAAGTATTCTTTCATCCTCCATTTTCAAACAATCTTTCAGAACATTCGAAAGCATTGGGGCTGTGTTTGGGAAATCTTGGAAAACGTAAATGATGCTGCTGTCGTCGATCATGTGATCACCAAAATAGTTAAAGAAGGTACACATTAGATGAGTTGGTACTCATAACTCATATTCATATGTTTTGAAGGTGTCTACGGTGATAGATCCAGTTCCGCTCCCAGACCATTTGTGAAATTCTGTATGAATCGCTTGAACCAGTTGATGCAGTATGTAGCGCTGTTAAGTACCTAACTATTTCATATTTATTAGGGAATACGAGAAGACTAAGCAATGCTTTTGGTCTACCGATTCTTCCGAATATCTACAGAAAGTTCATCGTAATCTATGCGTGCTAGCAAAGTTCACTGCAGTCAATGAGAGCTTATTCATGGTATCGTTTCATGTTGTTTTCCTATTATACATAATAATTCTGTAGTATGTACGATCTGAACCACTACATGGTACACTGGTACCCGGAAGGCCGATAAGAGTAGAAATGTATTGTGAAGGTTATGATGTTGAGCAAAAGGCTTTATCAATCACAACTCATACCAATGAGATCTTAGCACATTTCAAGACTAGAGTTGACCAACGGCTTGGATATGTATGTTTAATGAACTAATGATCTCCTTACTCAATACACTTTCAGTACGGAATAGACAACTACACCATGCATGTTGACTGGGGTGAGGATGACGATCGCGAAATATCTATGAGACATCCTTGGAAGACATTAGAACAAGTATTTATTGCTTCATCTACATGATTCAATGTTTTTTCATTTCAGATAGCTATAGTACCTTCTAACGAGGATGTTCTTTATTCAAATTATGGTATTTTACGAGTTCGGCTGTTTTTGAGAAATATTAACAATTTGTAAGTGGTATCGATAGTTGTAATTCGGAAATTAGTAACTCCAGGAGACCCTTACAACGTACTTGTTTCGAGACTAATAGGAATTCGGAAGAAGAGCTGCCATCCACACTTTTACAACAACAGAGTAGTGTAAGTTGGAAACAAATTGACAATGGTTCCATTCTCCTATTCCAGATGTATTCGATTCTTTTCAATTTGCCCATAGAGCAAAATAAAAAAATCACAGCTGTACGTCGGCAACTGTTCAACATCTTGCCAAACGATATTACTGTAGACGCTGCTTTCCAAGTACACGTTAAAGACGTTAGTTGTGTTTGTGTTTCACAATCTATGCTTGTGCTTTAGGGAATAGATAAATTATCTTCCAATAATAATCAACATCAATATGTATTCAAGAACGTAGAAGATATCAAAAGCGTGCTCTCTCTGGATGCTCCGTATAAGTTTTTGTATGGCCTTGAGGTATTATTCATTAGTCTATCTTGTTTCTAATTCCAGCAATTTAGGTCCTCTGTGGCAAGCTCATGCCTACGAAGTATTGTACTTCTGCTGCTGACACCTCATGTAATACGATCTCTGCTCTTCGTAACAGTGATGTTGTGGAACATATAATTGGCAAAATCGAGAGTATCGCCGATAATTTCAAAAACTACAACATCAATGATGATTCGCTGTACTTGGATATAATTGAGAAAGCCAATACTATTCTGAGGTTGATCAGGTTTCACGTACAAGTTCATTTTCTTTTTTTTATAGGCATTTCCTGCTCAACAAGTTTTATATGAAAGAGGCTTCGATGGAAGACGTTGAAGTATTCACTTTATTGGAATCGGCCAATCCCGAGCTACCTTCTACTTCTAAATCCAAGAAGGGCGTTGTTCGCCAAATTGCAAATACATTTGCTGCTTCGTGAGTGAACTGTTTCTTTCTCCTCTCATATTCATATCTCAGGTCACCAACGTTACAAAATTGGGATATTGATAAGATCACTCATTTTTCAAAAATTTGGATTAAACTAATAAGCGTTGTACGAAGTAATAATAATCACTCTCTTGGAAATCTGACAGAACGAGGTGTAGATAGGTAAGATGAATGAACTTATTCTTCTATGTTATGGTTAACTCTTCAGGTTTGGTGAGGATTGCGATAAGGATGTCTTCTTTGTTGAACAAGCTTTGTATGCCACCAAAAAGCTGTCCACGAGTTCACAGAGTAAGTTGATTGATGTCGGTAACTCTTCTGAATGTTTCATTCCAGGGTTATCATTTTTGCGATCGAAAATATCTGTGGACTGTTTACGTCTTATGCTCGAAATTTTCCAGCAGTTTGTTGATTCCAGTCCTGAAGTGGTAAATCAGTTTTCGTAGATTTGAAGTATACAACCTTTTGTTTCAGTTATACTACGAATTGCTTTCTAAGTTTGTGTTTGATGAAAACTGGAGGGTCTTTGCAAAGACAATTTTGTTGGATGGAAAGGATAGTTTGGTAGGATAAGGATGAATGAATGAGTCTTTGAATAAGATATTTCAGTTGAGGCATGTTGGCTGCTTTTATCTTGTGTCTATTATCAAGAAGTGTACTACGGGTTCTGCTGCTCTCTGCTTAACATGCCTTTATGAACTTGTTCTTCCTATTTTGAACGATGATAGGCCTTCGAGCGCGCTAGGTTAGCTCAGAATTCTCTTTCGTCTTCATCCGACACTTATTCCAGATAGCAGTGAATTGACGCAGAGAACCAATATTTTGGATGTTATGCAAACTATTAGTTCAATTCTTGTCAATACAACTTTAGGAGATGACGATGATTTAGAGTTATGGAGCTGTGCTGTAGATGGGATTCTAAATGTGAGTTGTCTCTATGTTTCATCTCTAATGGTAACTTCTTTCAGCTTGTTTTACCTCTCACTAAGAAAATAGTGTCTACTAAAGTTGACAAAAATTTCGAAAGTGCAGACAGTGCTCTGGTTTCTGCGTTGATGGAGGTAAGTCTATCGAATCTGATCATTATTATATTGCTCTGATTCAGACTGTTCGAGGTCTAGTGGCTAGTGGTAACTTGGGAGAAAAAATTACTAAGGAAGTTGGTGAATTCATAATCACGAAACTTGTGAATAGGAAGTTATTCCCAGGATATTATGTAGATGCTGATAACTTCTCGTATGTTTACCTTTTATCGTGTGTTTCTTATGATTGATACTCTCAGAGGTCAATCATCTATCAGTCCACCTACGCGATGGAATGACTTCGGAATAAGGAAACAAGCAGTTTCTTTGTTGTTAGAGTTAGCAGCCACCAATCACGGTTCCAATGCCATCTTGCTTCTTGAAAAGCTGCATATGAGATTTGAGACCGAACTGATTAGTGGATGGGAGTTTGAGGTGCAAAAACTTGTTTTGTTTTGCTTGACCATTTTTTCAGCCTGATGTTGAGGAAAAGCTGTATAATCGAGTTGGCTTGAAAAACGATGGAGGAACTTGTTATATGAACAGCATTCTGCAACAAGTAAGACATGAGTATCGTTCCTCTTCTGATCCCTTTGATAACAGATCTTTGCCATTAGTCCGATCGCAGAAAAGTTTGTCAGCCTTCATATTGGTAGTGACTTTTCATGGGAAAGTGGATTGAAGAGGTTTGTGTCACAGACTTATATATATTCATTATCTCTCATTCAGTGATTTACTTGTTGAGTTACAAAGAGTATTTGGACATTTGTATCTCTTGTTGGAAAAAATATACGTTCCTCGTGGTGTGTGGAATGCTTTCCGGTTTTCTGGAGACGATCATCTGGATACGAAGAAACAACATGATGCAATTGATTTCTTAACTGAGCTAGTAGACAAGTGTGATACTATCATGGAGGTAATATAATTCTGACTGTACGAAAGCTTATTTTCCTAATATCTCAGAAAATGGAATGCCCTCTGATATTCAAGCCTCAACTTTCCGGTAAATTCGCTTATGAGTACATTTGCTATGAATGCTATACAAGGTAATGGAGTTTTCCTCGAGCCAAAATAATATTTGTGTTCTTCAGACATCAAGGTCCCGAAGAAGAGTATTTGACTGTGAACTTGGAATTGCATGGAACAACGCTGGAAGATTCTTTACAGCATTATGTTGACGGAGAAATTCTGGAAGGGGAAAATGCTTATCATTGTAGAGAATGCAACTCCAAGGTCGGTTTTCGACGCAATCTCGATCTTTCATGTTTTGATTTCAGAGAACAACATTGAGGAGGGGATCGTTTTATACATTACCCAACACTCTGTCGATCCAGCTGAAAAGATTCACTTTTGATTACACAGGTAGACAAGCTCAGAAGAACAATGAGTACTGCAAGGTCAGTAAATTCGCGTTCTGCATCCATATATCATGAAATGCCTTTAGTTCCCTGAGTTCTTGGATATGAATCCCTACATGAAGCACTCCCAAACATATGATGCCAAAGATATTGATATGCTTTTCGAAGAAGTATGTTGTTTTCCTCATCCAATTCACAATTTGCATTGTTAAGATACACTCCACGCAAAAGTTAGGATCGACGACGAAGTCAAACAGCAATACTCCACATCCCTCACCTTCTTCTCCTATGAAAATGAGGAGGAGGCGTCGAATTTCTACTCTGCCTACTCAGGTGCTTTCATATTCCATGAGTAGTTATGTTTTTTCTCTTTATAGCAAGTCAACCCCGAAGATTATCATTATGAACTCGTCGGAGTTTTAGCACATTCTGGGTTAGCAGCTGCCGGTCACTACTTCTCGTTCGTCAAAGATCAAGAGTAAGCTACTTTTTTGTAACAAATCTATTTCGATGTTTTCCAGTTCTGATTCTAAAAAGCCTAGTTGGTATGAATTGAACGATGCTCAAGTGAAACCGTTTGATATAGAAAATGAGGCGGAGAATACTTGGTTTGGTGGTCATTTCCGGGCAAAAAGTATACTGGAAATTTCTTTGCGAGCATCTACTCTTGCTTTTTCCAGATGTAAATAATTTACCTGAAGAGAGAACCCGAACATGGAATGCCTATGTTTTGTTTTATCAGAAGAAGCCTATATCCGGTTTTGGCAGCTCTTTAGTTTCTGAAACCAAGTAGCCTCGGTTCTTTTTTCTCTCCACAATGTTCAGTTTCAGATCTCTCAGACAGAATCAAAGTGAAGTGTTCCATTCCATGCCACATTGGTTGCAAGTAGAGATTGTAGACAGGAACACCCGGTTCATCAAAGTAAGTGTTCAAAAGGTTATTCTCATTGTATTATAAACGCAGGAGCGAGATTTGTTCTCTGATGAATATCGAGATCTCATGTTAGAAGCAGCTTCTCAGTTCTTCACGTCCATGTGTCAATTATTGCCTGATGAGGAAGTTGAATATAAAGAGAACATGTGCTTGCTTGCTTTGAAGGTAAACATATTCAGTTTCCTTTAATTTCTATATTCAACTCAATTTAAGTATATATTGTCTTTCTGCTCTCGTATCATTTGGCGTCTCTCTTCCATGTTTCGATGTCCGAATGTCCTTTCTAAATCTCAGAAAGTTCTTCGTCAGCTTCTCTCCGCAACTCCCAACGTTCGCAAACGCTTCTTGATGGTCCTTGCTGAAGATAACTACAAGGTTCTCTCTGTCACCCATAGGCGAAGATAAACTGTAATCACTTCAGATATTCGATGAGATGAGCTTGTGCCCCAACCTTGATGTTTTCAAATCATTCTTCGAGAATGTGAGCGATACTCTGACCTCATGTGTAGCCAAGGAATCTAACTCATACACTCACAATAAGGAAGCCGTCTTTATACGGAAATCTTTGAACTTGCTAAAGTAAGATGGTGCTTGTTTCTTTATTCACCATGAATTTTTAGAAATGAATACTATCACAATTGGGATAATGTTGAAGTGATTGTGGAAATGTTACGCAGGGTTAGCTATCATACAGGTGGTATCAAGGTATATGGTCGGCATAAGGTGACGTGTGCTAACCGCTGTGTTTCAGATTTTGTGGGAGTTAGAGGCATCCTCTTACTTATGTGATCTTGTTGTTTCCCATTTTGACGGCGTTCGTTTTCGGGTTGAATTCTCAGAATTGTTTGTTTCTTCAGGATAGCTTAATGAAGTTGAGAGTTTCTGAGCGAGACTTACGACATGAGCGAATGAGATCAGTTCCCGAGTTGTTCTTGAATGTCCTCAACTACGGTATCTTCCAAAACGACCAGATTGATGACTGTAAGCTAGCGCTAACCAAGATATCAGTTCACTTGTAAGTTTTATCCTACGTTCCCTCTGATATAATATGCTTATAGTTTCATCACATGGATTTATTGTTCGATGAACGATAATGCCTGTTTGCGGGAGAAGATAGTTAATATATTAGCCGAAGCCGATGACAAGTTAGGTCCTGAGTTCACAGCTTTGAGGATCAATGCTCTTCTCCATGTAAGTAGATCATCGATACGTCAGTTTCATTGTAATTTCAGTGGTTGACAGCTCAATCTATATCCATATCCGGTTGGGGAGCTGTTGTATCCTTGGTAGTATCTACTGTTCTGATCAGAGAGGTATAGTTCTTAGCTGATGTATATGACGTACTCGGGTCTTTACAGAAATGCGGACATGAAGATTGTGGTAGAGCTCTTCTGCTTTTCCTCGATGAACAGGAAGTACCTTCAGCAGAAGATGTATGACTAATTTTAATTCATTCTTATATACGTGTTCCTTCTCAGAGTACTGTTCATTCCGGTATCATACCATGGTTAGAACACATGATATCAAAGGGTGCTTTCAAAGTTTGTCATGATATGCATAGGGCTTTGGAAGTGTTATACAACTGCAAAGCATCTGCGTAAGTGCAATTCTTTCGTTTTATGACTATGAATGGGAATTACAGAATCATTCAAATAATATTATCATCGAGGATCCAGCGTCTGAAGATAATTGGACAGAGGATAGATGAATGCGCCTATGATTCTCAGAGTGAGTAAGTTTAAGCTTGGTGGTGTGCTGACCATATTTCGTTTAGGTTTGGTTTATGATCAGCACAACGTTTCTCATAAGGCCCGAGACTTTATATTAGATGGAGGATCTTCTACTATCATGGGGATATCGGAAGTGGATTCAATCAGTATTCCAACAAGTCAAGATCTTATTAATATAGAGCAGCAGTAAGCGAGCGAACCCCGATAATGCCTGAGAATAGTTTCAGTGATCAAGCACCGAATGCTTTCACCGCAACAGCTTTAGTAACGTCTTCCTCTGAAGATATTGATTTCAAAAAAATTATGTAGTTATCTGCGTTGTTCACACACATAACCAATTCTTTCGTTCATTATTCTCCTCAACATATAGATTTACAGAAGCGGGTTTAAGGACGGGTATTTTTATAATTGTATTTAAAGTCTTGTTGAGTATTTTTGTTTAACAACTGTTTTAAGTCTATACCGGTTTCATCCTTTCTCCCGATGGTGATATCGTCTCGGTTTTTCATGTTTTTGTGCAAAAGTCGAAGCTAACCCTTGTTTGAGCAATATGCTCATCGCATTCAAAATCTTATATTGATTTGTATGTAAACTTATTCTTAAATTGTTAATTGGATCTATTAGTACTCATGTTGAGATAGTATCATATCAGTTCCTGATGTCCTCTATTATATATGATAATGAAATGAGAGAGTATTGTTCAGATTACTTCCTAGAGGTTCGACCCTCCTGACTACTTAATTTCCATTTCCTTTAGTTCTCTAATCATCTGACATCTATCTAGATGCTAGACATAGCATGGCTATGCAACATGGCAATACAAGCAGTCTATTGGCTGGTCCTATTGGCCTGTAATTTTTTGGGTTATTCACCTGTATGGGTGAAGAGAGATTTGAAAAAGCGGGAAATTGAGGTTCTATTTTCGCTTCGAAGTTCATAAGCGTTCGAGTTCAGGAAATTAATCGCTCCTATAGAGTTCCTCATCACTTATCATTGTGTTATTCCGATAGAAAAGTTAACTTCGTAGGTTTCCGTTTTGAAACTTTTGCTAATTCGACTGTTCAGGAAGAGTTAATTGCATTAATCGAATTATGTCTAGCTTATGGCGTTCGACGAGTGACTGTGTATGATCCTTGGGGAGATAGCATAGCACTGGAGAGAAGGTTCCGTCCTATGTGTCAAGCAAAGGTTGTCTGAGTGTACTTTAAACTGAGAAAAATGATATTCTTCCAGAACGTGCAGATCTTAGCTGGTTGTTGTTCTACCCCTATCCAGCACACATCCAGGCTTGTTTTGCAGTTATTGTCCGCAGAAGCCGGTCGACCAACACTAGTGGATGCATGCAAATCAGTATGGGTGTTCGTTAGAAGAGATGATAATCTATGTCATGTTGTAGCTATCGACCAAATCAACTAAAATCACATCGGAAGATGTTACTAACCTCCTTTCTGACAAATTCAATTTGCAAGATCCTGACTGTCTCATAATGGTGAGTCATTTTTGGCGGTTCTTCTTCTCTAAGAGCATTTTTTTGCAGATCGGTCAAACGCCCAGTCTTGCAGGCTATCCTCCATGGTGTTTACGGATCACTGAATTCATACAGGTTTCTTAAAATGTTTTTTTTCTCCTAAATTAATTGAATCATCGTTTTTCAGCTTCGAAATTTGCCGTTTACACGACAAACGTTCGAAGAATGCCTTGAATCGTTCTCGAAACGAGATATCCGAGTGGGAAAGTGAAATTGCCAAGTTTATTCATTGTGACTAGTCTAGATGAGTCGTTGTTGTTAGTTGATTCCGCTTTAATTGTGATACTTCGTAAACCCGCTAGACAATTGATAACAGAAGAAGTTATCAGAAAGGTTATATATCATTGCTAGTGAGATCATCATGTACTATTTAGTCCAACACACACACACACACGGTTACCTAGCGATTGTTAATTTATACATATGTTGTTTTCTTTTGTTGTTGTAACTTTGAAATTGTTTAGAAGTTAGATGATCGTTGGGGTAAGGGGTATATGTTTCAAGGTTATTGAATATGATGTAATATATGGCTAATCAAGGAACATTAAATGTTTTTTTTCTCCTCCTCCATCTATGGTGATTATCCATCTGAGTTACCGATAACAAGCTCTCGTCGTTTTTTGACTTTATAATCTTTTCTCTCACTGTTTTATCTTGCTCTCGCTCCTCTCGTCATTTCCATAGTTTGTGTGTACACTGTTCTAGTATTGGGTTGAGCACTCATATTGTTTATCTAAACCCTTTCCATATATTTTTCTAATTATAACGTGTTTTATTGCCTGGAGTCGAATTGTCATCATTTTCCGTTCTACGCGTTTTATGATCATAGGCCCGCGAGCTTTCTCAATCAGATTTGTCATCAAAATGACGTCGTATCCATGACTACAAATAAATTCCTCTGCAATGGAAATATAAATCCCACATTCTCTCGTATGCTTTTCTCAATGTTTGTTTGAGTTTTGATGGCGATTGGTCGGCGCACAGATTTTCTTTCAACTACATCTGATCGTTTTAAGCCTCTCGGTCTGATTCTTCCTCCCTAATCATCGAACGTTTTTGCTTTATGTTTATCTAACCTATTATGTTGACTGTAAAAAACGATTTGTCTTCGATAACTCCAATGCATTTCTGATTTAAAAAATATCTTTTTTCTCCATTTCTGCCATCTCATATCTTCGTCTCTCTCATCATCCAACACTTAGTGTCTATCTGTGTTTCAGTGGAGAAGTATGGGTCTTTTAACCAAAGGTAGTCCTCTCACTTGGGATGAGACAGTACCATTCGTTGATTATATCAAGGTAAAACATACTTCCGCTATCTTTTTCTTTCTTCTGCAATTTTTTATTTTTTTATCAACGTTGCATTTGTTTCTTTACAGACGCACGGTATCGCTCAATTCATCAACTTGTATCATCGGTTGAAAGATCGTGCTGGTGATCAACTTAAATGGGGAGATGAAATTGAATATACCATAGTGAAATTTGATCATGAGAACAAGAAGGTTTTAACGCTTTTTCGTTTTTCATAATCCTTTTCATATCAAGGTCCGTGTTTCTTGCCGTGCTGAAGAATTACTCTCAAGATTACAAGCGAAGGAGAAAGTCAATGCTCTCGTTGGAACAGTTAATAACTTCCTATGGCGACCAGAATTCGCTGCATATATGATTGAAGGAACACCAGGAATGCCTTATGGAGGTTTTCATTGAATACTTACAAACTTATAATGTGTCTCATCAAAAGGACTTCTTGCTTGTTTCAACATCGTGGAAGCCAACATGATTGCTCGTCGCCAAGAAGTACGCGACTTGCTCAAATCAGTAAGACATATCCGAATGATGAGATTAATATGTTGAATAACAGGATGAGTCCATTCTCTCAATCTCTTTCCCAGCCCTGGGAACTGTTGATTATACTGATCCTCCATTGGCACCCACTCCCGATGATGAAGATGATGCCGGTAGAAGCATTTTCTGGCCCAATAATGTTATTTTCTGTGGTCATCCCAGGTTCGTTTCATTTATGAAGCTATCAAAGATTGGAATTTTAAAGATTCAAGAATCTCGTCAAAAACATTCGTGGTAGACGTGGCGAGAAAGTTGCCATCAACGTCCCTGTGTTCAAAGATGTGAATACTCCCTCTCCATACATTGTAAGTTGTTTTGAGACATCTCTGAGTTTATTTGTGATTCTTAGGAGGATTTATCTCGGTTCGGAAACCCAGATAGTTATTCTGCTGCTAAACCTGACCATATTTACATGGATCATATGGGATTCGGAATGGGATGTTGTTGTCTTCAAGTCACTTTCCAAGCTGTTAATGTAAACGAGGCTAGGTGGCTTTATGATCAATTGACACCAATTACTCCTATTGTATTGGCTCTATCAGCTGCTACTCCTATATTCAGGTAGTATTATTTCTTTTGCGTTTGAATAATATCCACGAACAGGAGTACTCTTGCTGATGTCGACTCTCGCTGGGATATCATTTCGGCTAGTGTTGATGACCGAACAGCCGAAGAAAGAGGATTAGTCCCACTCCAAAATAGCAAATGGCGAATTGACAAAAGCAGATATGATACAACAGATTGCTACATATATCCATGCTCAGCGGGATATAACGACATTCCTTTACAATATGATGAAAAAATTTTACAGTTAGTCGATTTTGACCTATATAACTTATTAAAAAAAACTTTTCAGGCAACTACTCGATGGTCAAATTGATGAGCCTCTTGCAAAACATATTGCTCACATGTTCATTCGAGATCCTTTACAAGTAAGCGGTTATGCGCTCGACCTAGTATGATACGTTCTATTATTAGGTTTTCCGGGAGAGAGTTGAACAAGATGACGAGAAAAGCTCAGAACACTTTGAAACTATACAGTCGTCAAACTGGATGAATATGCGATTCAAGCCCCCTCCACCAGATACCCCAGAAATTGGGTGGCGAGTCGAGTTCAGACCCGCTGAAGTGCAATTGACTGATTTTGAGAATGCTGCATACTGCTGCTTTGTTGTTTTGCTTACCAGGTAAGCAGAACTTTATTTATCTCTTGTTCACACTTCTTTTCCAGAGTTATTATATCTTTCCGCCTGACATATCTTTTACCAATATCAAAAGTTAATGAGAATATGAAAAGAGCTCAGAAAAGAGATGCTGTTTTATATGAGAAATTCTTTTTCCGGTAAGACTATCAAAGAAACTCTCCCAATATGTTTTTTTGTAGCAAGTCTCTTGCGACATGCAAAAGTGCTCCTGAAAGTTTGAAAGGCACCGCAAAGTGCGGCCAGCCAAGTTCAGACATTGAAGAAATGGATATCAATGAAATAATTAACGGTAATAATGTGGTTCTGAAAAATTTCGTACGATTCGTGTTAAGGTCGCGAAGATGGGTTCCCAGGGTTAATCCCTCTTATTAAACAGTATTTGGACAGTGCTGATGTTGATGTTGACACTCGATGTAGTATTGCTCAATATTTGAATTTCATTTCGGTAATATTTCAAATATTTCTCAGTTTAATATGGTGTTGTCATCTTCAGAAAAGGGCTTCTGGTGAGATTTCTACTCTTGCTCATTGGATGCGAGAGTTTGTTCAACAGCACCCTGCTTATAAGAAAGACAGCAAAGTTCCACAAGAGACTATTTATGATATGACTATATTGGTAATTTAACATTAATCATCAAAAATTATGTTTTCCATTTCAGATGAATGATATTTCTTTGGGTAAAAAACATTGTCCTAAGTTATTAGGATGCTTCCGCTCAAAAACTGATTCCAAAATTCCTGCTTCTGTTCTATTAGCTGAAGAAAGTTTCGCAATGAACAATAGAGATTGAATGCTATATTAGCAAAATAATATAACAATGTTACGTGCCATCGATTGCATTTCTGTATTCACTTGATGACCAGATACATTTTAACTGATTTTTACCGACAGTAATACGATAGTTTTATTGATTAGTATTTGTAATAAATAATGATTTTTGAAAAAAAAGGGCATGGGTTCTACACCATCAGAGTTATGGAAGTGCGTTGAATGCAACCGATCTGAATACGTGGTTGATGAATAAGAATGCAACCGTTCTGTGTTTTTTTAGTGACTAAGCAATCGTACACGCTTTCGAGACTATTTGAATTTTTCTCAAGCCTGCTACTCTCGGTAGATCTGTTTTTTTAGGAGTTGTTAATTCAAGCCCATCATGACCAGCTTCAAGTTCTTCATACCCTTCTATACTGTGAACGTTCTCATCTGGAACAAAAATTAGTTAGTTTCAATTACTGTTCTTTCAAAAACCTCGCTCTTTGTCTATTATCTCCCAGACGCTATTTTTCACACTCTTTATGAGGAAGAAAGTGTCCATTTCGCCCTATTAATAGAGGAGTGCTACATGAGAAGCTCAAAATTCTATAATTTACCTGTCCTTTAATGAGTAATCGGCCTCTTGGTTTGAATTCGAAACGGCCAGTTCTGTTGGCACATGCTTGAGCCTGAATAGGTATGAGTTCGTTTCTTGGACTTAACTTGTTTTATTAACCTTTTCACTGCAATGAATCTTTCCCGGCACTCCTTGAACTTCTAATCTTGATGCCACGTTCACCGTTTCCCCGAAAATGCAATACCTGCAGCTTTATCAGATTGATTTGTGAATTATTCAATATATATACCGTGGCATTAGTGAACCAACAACTCCCGCTACTATAGGACCACTATGAATACCAATCCTAACCTGTAACGGCTTCTTTGTGTGGGGATCCAAGACAGTTCGAGCTTCCCAAAGCATCCCTGAAGATGGTTTCATGTCGAAATTAAGGCATTATCAATACCTATAGCAACATTGCATAACTTTTCTGCATGTTCCGGTAGATTTTCGGGTACGCCAGATACGGTCATGTAGGAATCGCCAACTGTTTCAACTTTATACACCTGAACAAGTGAATTAGTGATTCATTACTGAGTTTCAATTACCTCATGCAAAGAGATGAGGCGATCAAACTTGGTAAAAAGCTCATTAAGAACCTGGACAATATCTTTAGGTTGACAGAATGGGAGCACATGTTGAAAATCTGGCACATCCGAAAACATGACTGTAGCTTCATCATATTCACCTGAGAATCGGTTAAAAGAATCTAGCTGTATAAAAGAATCATACAAGCTTCAATCGGTTCACCGGTCATAAGCTGATTAGCAACGGATAGCGGCAACATGTCTTTCAGAATGAAATCTGGAATGATTCGAACAGGATCGTTATTTAATGAGTCAAATACTAACCAGTTTTCTTTTTTTCGATCTCCAAATCCTTAGCCAATTGCTCCAGCTGCTCATTGTTAGCTTCAAGTTGCAGACTGGAAAGAGAATGCTTTTCGAGTAAATTCAAAATTTCCTCACTTAACTTCCACATCTGAGAGCCGCTGTTGATTGAGAAGTATCAAATCTCTAGTTGCATCATGCAAAGGCATAGCTATGCATTATGCATTAGTAATGGCAAACGACGAAATTGTTACCTGTCAGTCTCATTCCATATTGCATAAGCTCATCAATGGACGTAACGTAGGGCGAACAAACATAAATCAGATGCTTAAAGAAATGAATTATTAATTATTCATGCAAGCTAAACGAAACCTTCTCAGATGAAAGTTTCATCATTTGACCTTTCAATTTAAGATGTATTCCTTGATAGGCAGCAGGGTGGATAGAAATATTTTCTGGAGACCCTCTTCGAAATAGAGATGTTTTGATGTTTGATAAACCAAATACCTACCCCTCTTCCTTCTTCTTCCTCAACTCAGCTGGTGATATGCGAACTTGTAAAACAAAAACAGCATTGATGAAGTTACAAATATTGTCGAAGTCCAATGGTATTTGAGGACGAGTTATTTCAAAAACCCTTAGAACGGGTGTACCGGGAACGAGAAGTTCTTTTGGCACATGATTGCTGAAAAAGAGGGTCATTGAATATTTCGAATAAGCAGAATTATACCATAGTTCACTTCCTACTTGAACTAATTTGCAATGTTCATCGATGATGATATGATAGGGTAGAGCTGCACAGAAGTCATGGGGCAAAATTTTCAAAGGATCTTCGTTTTCTTAAGTTTCGTAGTGTTAAGTATGTCAATTATAGTCAGATTCCTACCCGAAACTATTTCTGGTTTTATACTTACCGTTCTAGGATGAGTCTCATTGAGAATCTATAATGAATCAAAATAACGAAGAATGTATTATCGCTCAAACTTTCAAATGGAAAATGACATGCTCTTCAATTCTTTCTCCAGTGAGCATTTGAACACTTCTTTGAGTTCTTCCATTAATCTGCATGGCTATTTCTATATTGAAAACACGTTTAGCCACTTCTTTCAATACTCCTAAAGATCAGCGTATCATTTCGTATGTGGCATAAGAATCATACCGCGTACAATTGCGAAAAGCCCTGGTCTACCGGTGAAGTAGTGCAAGATAATAGATCCATCAGGATTTTCTTCACATCGAAAAGAAGGTCCACGCAAGTTAGCTTTATAAACCACATGGTCAATAAAATAATGCAGAGAATCCAGATTATCTAAGAAACCCTACAAACCATATGAGCTCATGCTTGTCATATTATGGAAAACGAACTTTTAAGTTAGGGCTCATACTTCGGACAAGTTCATCCCATCCGATTTCCATAGTATATTCAATAAGGAAAGATCCATATAACTCCCATACTTGTTCTCGAGGCATTTCTGAGTAAACATTATATTATCCAGACGCCATAGTTGCAGAAGCATACTTGTTAACACACTGACACTCTCAACCAGAGAGTAAGTATCAGCATCAGAATAATAATGATTAACGATATTTTCTTTTCCAGTTTCAAATCCTGCTCTTGCTCTAAATTCAATTATACATATTCATATACAATCTCTCGCTAACATCACTTCCGCCCATAGATCTTCACCATGCCTTCTGATCATTAACTGTCGAATACTTTCATGTATAAAACCAAACTAAAATAAAATTTTGATAAGAAGAGAGAAATGTTGAAACCAACCATTGCTGAAGATGTCTTGCTGATATAACTGCCACAACCATCTTGTATTCATCTGCATTAACACGCATATTGCATTATGAATTCAAAAGCTATCCATCATCTTACATTATGCTGAAAGAACTTTCATATAATATTCAACTGAAGATACCTTAAAGACGCATTTAACACACCGGAAAGAATATTCCAGAATATAATAATAAAAGTAATTAGAAAATGTGAAGAAATATGTAGTGAAACATATGAAACAGACCAGCTTCACATGATAAATGAATGAAAATGAAAAGCTGCACGTGGAATGCTTCACGTATGCTAATTACAGCGTCCTTTTCCAAATTCAAAATTTCTATTGCGAAATCGCTTTTTTTGGTCAATTAATTGATTCAAGGAAAAACAATTCTAACAAAAATGAATATTATTAAATATTAATATTAATAAATTAATTGTGTACTTTGATCTGGACGATGTATGGAGTCCATAACTATCGATCAGTTGACTTAATTACGATTAGTTTCCTCATTCCTTACAGCTCCTTGCTACTCGCTACTCTCACCCCTTCTATCTCACTCTCTCTCTCTATCTTTTCGTATTCGCTCTCTGTCTCTCTCTCTATCTCAATCTCCCTCAATGTTTCTTCGACTCGATTTCCTTTTTTTTTGTATGAAAGAGTCATTTTTTTCCGTTTCCACTTGTAGTTATCCAACTAATTTTTCAGTCGCTTGCTCATGAAGATATCCCCCAAAATAGCCCAAAATTGACAAGCCAACGTGCCAAAAGCGAGATTTTGCTAGAATGACGATCCAATTTTAGGCTAAACTTAGCTTGTTTCAGCTTGTATTCGTTGAAATATTCGCATAAATTTTGAATGGCTTCGGCTTCTCGTCTCTAATTTAGCAAATTATCCATTTGAAATGCCAAGAAAGAATATGAGATTTTGAATTGATTCGCTCTGGCTTGTTAGTTTAGTTATCTGGTTCATTTTAATCTTTCGCGTTTCATCATCACATTACTTACGCAAAATATTATTTCAGGGAGGAGTCTCGAATCTTTTCAAATTAGTTTTTGTGCGAATTCAATCAAGCACAACCCTACTTAGATCCTCTTACTCTACTGCTGCTTTCCCAATTGACTAGAAGAAGATGACTGACGAGTAAGTTTTCCATTTTTTTCTATTTTTTTAGATTTAAACCGCTCACCGAAATAGTTAATGAAGTTCGTTCATGCTTCACGTGAATTTCACGGAGCAGTCCGTGCGCTCTTAAGTTCTGATGTCATTTGCAAATGCTTAGACTTGAAAAGCGGTTGTTCTGCATAAATCCATCTACACATCCAGCGACTTCCCTTCACTCTCACCCCCCATTTCTTTCTATATTTAGTTTGTTTCTTTCTATTGATTCAAGAAGAATTGTCTTCTCATTCGGCCGTATATCTGCCCTTTCGTTCTAAGTGAATGAAGATGTCTCGCAGAGTTAAGGTTTTAGCTATCATCATGGCTTCTACACTAGAAACAAGCGATGACTTCTTTTGTTCATTTGATTTTTCAACTCTGATAATCTGAGAAGAAAAGGCAGCTGTTGACCTTTCTTACAACCTTGTCAGTTCTACATTGATCATTCTATGTTTGCAACAACTCTCGAGTTCAGTCTGTCCATTTCTACTCTCCTTAGCTTAGCAATAAGAATACTTCCAAAATCTATTTTCATTCAATTATGTTTTTTCATCGATGAAACATCAATGCCATCCTTTTCCTGTCACATTAGAGTTCTGAAGTGATTGTAGTCATTAAGATAAGAAAGAAACTTATCGCCTTTTCTAAAAAAATTGGCTGGATTATCATATTTTCAATAATTTTTCAATTTAAAATTGAACTTCCTGTGCTTCTAATGCTGGTTCACTACTGCTGCTGCTGCATCTCATCTCGCTATTCACTTGCTTCATCTGGTTATTGAGCATTTTTCTTTTTCGATTTATCACGTAGACATGAAAAGCTTTACAAAGTTCTAGCCATACTCTAAGCTCATTCCCAACGCTTGTCCAATGTTCCAAGCAACTTGCTCAACACTTGTGTTTCCATAGCTATGTATTAGCCAAAATGATTTCATTGAACATTAGCAAATCTTATGATGTTTCGCTTTTTTTTTCTCTCCTCTAGTCTTTAGTTGTTGGCTTTATTGATTTTCCCGAAGAGAGTTTTAATAGTGCAAAAGTGACCTTTACAAGCAAAACCAGTTAGTTCATCATCTTCTATCTCTCAAAATACTGGTTTTCTTAGATTTCTTATATATTCTTTTTAATATTTGATATTGTGGTTGCAGGATGTCTGGAACCATTGCTGAACTCCTTGAGGAGCTGACTCCAGCTGCCAACACTCCCCATGGTAAAGTAACCGTTGTTGGAGTTGGCCAAGTCGGTATGGCTTGTGCTTACAGCATTCTTCAACAAGTGAGTACTTTATGAAGTAAACATGCATTATCAGTGATTCACAGAATATTGCCAATGAAATCTGCTTGGTTGATGTTGTTCCTGATAAGCTCAAGGGAGAAATGATGGATCTTCAACATGGTTTGGCCTTCACCAGACATTGCACTGTCCGAGCTGATACTGGTACTCTCAGGAAGTGACATTGAGAAAACTCAAAAATTGTTTTCAGATTACTCTATCACCGCTGGATCCAAGATCTGTGTCATCACTGCTGGTGCTCGTCAACGTGAAGGAGAGACTCGTCTCTCTCTTGTCCAACGTAATGTTGAAATCTTCAAGGGAATCGTTCCAAACCTTGTCAAGTATTCCCCAGATACTTTGATCATGGTAGTATCTAATCCTGGTAATTAGCCTAGTACTTCATCTTCCACATATTTCAATGTTCCAGTTGATGTTCTTACCTATGTCACATGGAAGTTATCTGGACTTCCAAAGGAACGAGTCTTCGGATCAGGAACCAACTTGGACTCCGCTAGGTTTGAAATTCTTATCATCAAGTTTCATAGTATCTTTTATAGATTCCGCTTCCTTCTCTCTGAGAAACTCAACATTGCCCCATCTTCCTGTCACGGATGGATCATTGGAGAGCACGGAGATTCCAGCGGTATGTGTTCTAGAACTTTCTTAACTGAAGTGCATCGTTTAAGTTGCTGTATGGTCTGGAGTTAACGTTGCCGGAGTTAACTTGCATGATGTTAAGCCTGATATCGGAGACTCCTCTGACTCCGAGAAGTGGGAACAAGAAATTCACAAGAAAGTCGTTGACAGGTTTTTGCTTTATTTGTCAAATTCTATTATTGAATGAGCTGTTTCAGTGCTTATGAAATCATCAAGCTGAAGGGTTACACCTCATGGGCCATCGGATTGTCCGTTGCCAAGATAGTTCAAGGAATCATGAGCAATTCTCGCAATGTTTATGCCTTAACAACTAACGTGCAGGTAGGAAACCTGAACTCCTTCTTGATGTAATTGAGAAATATCTTAGGGATTCCACGGAATTGACACTGAAGTATACCTTTCCCTTCCCGTTGTTCTCGGAGCAAACGGCATCACCCACGTCGTCAAGCAGAAACTTCAAGAGAGAGAGGTTCGTTATATCCATTTCTCCCTCTCTTCATTGTTTCTCTTTTCAGATAGCTCAACTTCATAGCTCTGCTAAAGCTCTACTTGAAGTCCAAAATGGACTCCATTTGTAGAAACTTCAAATCAAATCAGTCAATTAACGAGATAATTCCAATTTTTATTTTTTATTTCTCATTTTCTACTTCACATCCAACTTATATAAACTATTAGTTTTCTATAGCGTGTTCAATAGATGTTTATACAATTAGATACATGTGTTCTGTGTGATAGGAGTTAACCTCGTCTTCTTCCAAAACCTCTACCACGATTGAATCCTCTTCGTCCAAATCCACCTCCACGATAGAAAGCTCTACGTCCAAATCCTCCTCCACGATTGAAAATTCCTCGACCAAATCCTCCAAATCCGAAGGCACGTTTCTCACGACTATTCAGAAGTTCGTGGCTTGAAACTAACAAATGATATGTGAAGATCGGAGATAAACTTACTCGGCGTTGAATGAATTGAGAGGTACCGCTTGAACGTACAAGAGAAGACACAATGCAAGAAAGAGTAAGAACTGTTGTGATAGCATGGTTTACTGGTACAGATGTTTTGGTTAGTATTGGAAGAATCGCCGGTATATATAAGGTGGTCGTCAGGGGGAAATCGGTAAGAGTGCATCAGTACTAACGAGAGGTATTTCTAGCAACTCTTTCGCGAATACCATTGACTTAGAACATAAGTTTACCTAACAGTCAACGATCATAACAATGTCTCATTCAATTTATGTGTTTCGACGTTATGTTCCTGGACCCCGTTCTCCTATATTTTGTATTTCAACAGGAAAACAGGTATGCTCATTTGTGCCGATAAACAGTCGCTTCGTCTAAAACATCTCATCAGTTACTGGATGACGACTAAGTAAGGTTAGTCTTCCAATGTTCATTGTACTTCTCAAAAATATTGGAAGGGCTACTGTTCTCTCTTTTGCAGTATTTTTTTTTGTAATTTGAAGTTTGATCTCGGACTCAGGAAAGCGGAACATGGAAAGGGAGGGTGTGGGTCGAAGTGCAACGTTTGGTCAAGGCAAGGTTAACAGGTGTTGAGCTACTACATCGTTCGTAAACGATCAAGTTCAAAGAATGAGTAACTGATGAGGATATGTGATTAGATCATTCTGTATCATTTATTACTCTTTGAACAGAAATCTAATAAGTAACGAGAGGAATTTGTGTTTTCCATACCTTATTCATGATTCTGACATTCGTTCTAGGTAATTTGATTCATTTTTAGGAAGAAAACTATAGGGTTGATAAGCTGGTTGATAAGTTTTGACAAACAAACATGTTATATAAACAAATCTACAAATTTCTCTCGAATGTCTCTCCACTAGTGATGACAAAGCGAAGGAATGCAACTGTTCTGTGCGATATGTAGGGAATTCAATAGTTCTCTTTGATACTTTGATGCTTTGTTATTATTAATTCTGATTTTTAAAAATCACCCCAATTAGCAGGATGTTCGGATTGTAGATAATCATGAAAATATAAAAATTCCGTTCACATTTTGTAAAAACACATGTGCAGTGGAAAGGCGGGACATTTGAAATACAATGTGGGCCCACTGCGCATCAGCTCAGCTGACGTGTTGATACGCAGACTGCTGAAAGAGGACACCCTGTGTTTAGGCTAACGTGATACCTTTTCCTATTTCTTTAATAGTTGTACTTTTATTCAACGTTCTTCATTCTTATGGTCACGTTTTAAAAATGAAGTGTTCTTACGTTTTATCAGTTTCTGTCTGTTATGTCTTTTATTCGGTTTAGGGTAACCAGTTAAGATGGCGGATGACCACCATGATGATGAAGAATTCCACTCAACCGAGTCTGGAGCTGCTAACGTTTACCCAAAGCAATGTTCTGCTCTTCGCAAGAACGAGCATGTCATGATCAAAGGACGTCCATGCAAGGTTATTCAAATTTTCGTAGGATGTGTTTATATTAAACTTTTACAGATTGTTGAAATGAGTACTTCCAAAACTGGAAAGCACGGTCACGCTAAAGTTCACATGGTTGCCCTTGACATCTTCACCAACAAGAAGCTCGAAGATATCTGCCCATCCACTCACAACATGGATGTTCCAGTAGTAAAGCGTCGTGAATACTTGGTAAGCATTTTTATGTTACTGTTTGCATCATTCTTTTGTATAGCTTATGGGTATTGATGATGGCTTCTGCAACCTTATGGACCCCGAAACCTGTGATACTAAGGATGACCTTAAGATGCCAGAAGGAGAACTCGGAAACCAAATTACCGAAGCTTATGAGAGAGAGGAAGGATCTGTTTTGGTTAGTCAATCGATAATATTCGTTTCCATCCTTGTGTGTGATTTAGGTCGCTGTTACTGCTGCCTGTGGTGAAGAGGCTATCTTGGGATTCAAGATATCTACCAAGGAATAAATTTCTCATCAAGCAGTCCGTCAAGTTGTTGCTTGTTGAAAATGAACCGTGTTTTTCCAATTTTTTAAAAATAAACATCGCGATTGAAGTAATGCACTCGATGAACAAGGTATCGGGATCGTTGAGGGGTTATACCGATTTGAGACGTGGTATGTGTTTCGTAGTTTAGATCGATCAATGGGTAAGCTGTGAGAGGCTGTAGTTTTGTTATTGACTGATTTGTTTCACTTGTGAAGTGTTCGTTTTCCTATCGTTGATAATGTTTCTTGTGCTCTTTGGTCTTGGTGTTAGTTGTAGAAGGTTGGGACGGGGTTTATCGTGCTATTTTATTGTAAAGATTATGATTCGAGTATAGGAAGGTGCTGCCGATGGTCGAGCTATGTGTTTCGTTTGAAACTGATGCAATTATTCGGTGGTTCCGCTGCTATATATGGGCATTGTAGTGGTTTGGATAGGTAGGGTTTGATGATAGTTCTATTTCAGGAGTTGAAAGAGCTCCAGAGAACTAACCAAATCAAACAAGTGAACACCGGAACATGCTTAACGAGACTTCTAGTAGTGACGCATAATTCTGTCTAGGGGAGTAAGCTTTTCATACTGATTGAACGATGTTTGAGCTCGGTTTGAACTCTGGATCACTATTGTTGTTAAGTGAGATATACGCATTCTATTCCTGGCAATTGTGAAGCGTTTGTATGAACGGAACTACCCCTGTTGTGTTTATGCGTGTCGATACGTGGTTGAGGGTAAGTTCCGTGTTAGACTGAATACCGAAAGCGATGCATCCGATAATTCGAAACTTGAATAGGAATTGGCAGTTTGAGTAAAAAGTTTTGATGGAACACACATATTGAACTAGCGTTAAAGATCGCGTATCTACTGAAAGAAAATTATGTTAATAGGTTATTACAATGTCGAAACTTGCAGTTGGGGGAACAGGAACTATGATATTCGAGGTAAATAGCTTTTCTGATCATTTTCTTATAATTGCGGGAGGGTGGATTAATAAGAGCGCGTGCTCATCTTGACATTCAGTAGTTGAGCGAGAATGTCGAGAGAGAGAGAGAGTTGGCAGTAGTCACACGGAAATTCTAAAAAGAGCAGGAGAGTTTGTGTCAGCTCGTTAACATTCCGAAAAAGAGGAAGAGCCAAGTACAGCATAGAGTCTAACTATGACCATGCATCAAGTGGCTATTCGATTGAGTATTCTGTCGTCTTCTTTCGGATGAAAGCTGTAACATTAAATGCCATTATGTGATTCTAAGAGTTCCATAAATGGCTTTCTGAGACTTTCTTTCTTCATCTTTACATTCATAATAAAGTTATGTGACGACGGTCGGGAGATCATTTTCTAGTCATGCTTGGTCTATTCACACCTTGCGAGATTACGATTGCGGGAATCCATTAAGCTTAATCCCGCTTACTTTTTTTCCGTGATGTTTGCTTTGTCCAAGCTTTTCGTGAGCCACAAAATACGTTTGACTATGTCAAGTGTTTAGGAAGACTATCTTTATTTCCTTATTCGTCATTTTCAACGCCTGTTATCTCCACCAGTGTATCCAAAACAGGATACGTGTGAGCTGGCTTTTCTGCCATCTATTCCTGGTTGTATTGATGCTCTATTTCTTTCCCGGGATATCCTCCTATTCTCCCCACCTTTTTTCGAAATAAGTTCTGTATTTTCAGGTTCAACTCAGTCTGACGAGCTGCTCATTGCCCGTTTCTCTGCATGATGGTGTCCAAACAAAGATACAGCCTGAGGACCTCACGTGAAGCAAAGGGTTAGTTCGTTTTCCATCCCCTATTTTTTCGGTCGCTTAATTCCTCTTGATTCTCTTTCTCGATTCTCATTTCTCTTCCACTTTTCTCGTTTGCCTGCTCATTATCTGGTGCGCTCTTCTCTTTGAATACCAAGTGTTAAGTGAAAATTCAAAGTTTCCTGGCTTTCCATATAGGACTACTTCCTTATATGGTGGCAGTGTTAACCGGCCAGACAGCAGCAAATCATGGCGAAAATCGCAATTTAATTTTTTCTGCGGTCATTGGCAGCAGCAGAAGGATCCATATTGTTGTTAGTTCCTCCGTCTACAAATATGATTTTCGGGCTTACATCTTGGCTAATCATCGTTCTTTCATTTCCAATTGTTCACTTCGCTTTTTATAATCCAGACAGCGCTATCCAGTAAAGTTTCATGTAGGTCTTCGATCCTAATGTCTCACCACCAATTTCAAAAGAGTTTCTTAGCCAAAGTAGATTCTATGTTCAGTTTTTAAGTTGTTTTCATATGTTACATTTATCTTGTTCAGCTATTTCAAACTTTCAAAAGGTTCGAAATCATGCTCAAACCTGGACACCCACAAGTAATGAAGAATGCTTCTAATTTTTGATCAGAAAAAGTTTTTCCCTCTCATTCACAACGGGCTGTTTTTTAGTCTCTCATGTTATGAACTTTATGACTTTTTTAAAATTTGTTGTTAAGAAACGAAGTTGACACTTCAGCCTGAAAACCTTCTCTGGAGTTTCGGTTGTGTTTGTACCTCTTGTTCCCCGGAGAGAATTTGCAAATAGTAGAAAGTTTGAGACGTGATCACTTGAAAAAGTGAGGAAAGAAGCATGAAAATCTCTTTTGAACATATCATTCACTCGTCGAATTCGTCTGAGCTGAGAAGAAAGCCAAGATATACGTAATTGTATTTTCAATAAGCTGAATTATAGGAGTTTTCTTCTTAGAAATCAAGCAGTCTCAACTAACGTTTTATGAGTGATTCGCATAACAACCCAATTTGAGTTTTTTCCTCCCCCAAATTTTGAATACTTGTTTATTGGCGCGAAAATGATAGTCTAAGCTGCCTTGCTCCTCCTAACTTCACGTCGCGCCATTTTGAAAATGTGAGAACGCACAGACCGGTTGTACATTTCTTAATACATTCATTTATAAAGTAGTATTATATCTGTCGCAATGGTTTCATAGTTCGAGATCATAGTCCAAGTTGGAAAACATGAGTCAAGCGTTTCTAAGTGCAGCTTCGAACAAAGAAAGATGTGGATACGTTTGTGGTAATGGGTTTAAGAGAGGATTTATGGGTATCTACACTAAGAATTCATAATAATTGTTATGAAAGATGTAATTATTGTGAGAGCTCTTGGACAGGAGAGAGAGAGAGAGAGTGGGAAAAGCTTTGAGGATAATCTGTATGACAAGGCTCTGATTTCAATGTTTAGAATGAAATCATGGAGTGTAATGAGAATGCCAATAACATGGTGTTTTCTTTTCATTTCGTTGTCGGCAAGAACATAAATAAATAACTCGTAAGAATTGTTATTTTGGCGAACTTTGGGTAGGGCAGACATGCATATGTTGTAGACAATATGTCATGGATTAGTTGCTTTTACCTATGTCAGCCAAAGAGATTTTTTCTTGTTTACCATGTTCTCCATAGCAGAAACGTAAAGGAATATGTCGGCGGATAACTAAGCTACTAGCACACCTGGGGTCATATAGAGCTTGTCGGTGTTGTGTATGTATGTGTGTGTGCGAGTGTCATTCCAGTTGACTTTGTAAGTTTTGAAAAATGTAAGTCTTAAGCTATTTGTATGTTATCGTTACATTTGATGTTCGATTTTTGATCAGTTTCATGATATCCTAGGATCGGTTTTCCAGATCGGATATAGTCAGCTCAGAGTTGCTGCATCTTTCAAGGATTTCATGTCCATGTGTGTATGGCACAAGAGGAAGATAATGTAAAGAGAAAGATTGGAAGCTTGTAATCCTGTCTTCTTTCTTCTTCCTTTCCTCTTGTCTACTTTGTGAATACTATACCAAGGCAGAGAGGCACAAAGATTGATCTCTTTGAGAGGATTTTTTTTCTCGAAAAGACAACTTGCTGTTCTGATCATTTCAGTTGTCTACACACATCTCGTCATCATTGTTTCACCACAACCTTATATGAACTTGAATGAGTGCTAATTAGTAGTAAACCAATTAAGCTCTGCTCATCCTCAATTTGTACTATCCTTCTTTCCTTTTCCTTCTCTCTGCTATCCCTGGGATAATCTACCTGAGCTACATCATTTCAATCCCATAAGCTGCATTGTTTTATAGGCTTCTCAAATCATATCCTAGAGATCACAGCGATTTGTCTGTTCGCTCCTTGGCACTGCACCCGAATTATTATGTGTCGAAGATGAGTACTCTACTACTAATAGTCCAAATATGGAAATACTTCTTGACTTTTTAAATTCTTTTGCAATAAGTTTCCGATGTTTCCATCTCTCCCTTTTCTCTCTGCTTCCTCATATGGACTCTGCCGAAAATGAAAAAAAAAGAATTTTGCATGGCTCTTCCTTATTTTGCAGTTTTCGTCTGCTTCAAATGGAACCATCCTTTACCTGCTCTCTCCCACAAATTGAATATATCTTAATTTCCCTTTGAAATCAGAAACTTCCTCCATCTTTGAATAGCAGGGTGGGGGCCTCTTTTTATTTTTTTTTTCTTCTCTGCAACAACTCTGCCTTGCCATAACAGGCGAATTACAAAACATTTTGACTTTTTTTTCTGAGTCTGAGTATCTCTTTGACAACTAATAAACAGAACCATTAGCTATTATACTTTCAATGTCTTTGATTTTGATTGATTCATTCTTCCTCTCTCTCTCTCTCTCTCTCTCTCTCTCTCTCTCTCTCTCTCTCTCTCTCTGGTTTTTTTTTTTCTCTTGTTTGCCGAGTGTTTCAAGTCGTGTGACAACCCTTGGAACAAAAAAGAAAGACAAATACGAGAGAGAGAGAGA